AGAAAATTTCAAAAAAAGTAAAAAATAAAAAGAAAATAAAATGAATGGTGTAGAGGCAAGTGGTGTACATTTGAGATACCCCTAGCATATCCCCACAATATAATCCCTCTCTTCACTACTCCCAAAAACTGTTTTACCAAACACTATATGCAAACTCTCTCTCTATTTCTGTACTTTTGGTATCCATATAAATCCCACCTCCGCTGCGTGTCTGTTTCCCATAAACCCCACAAACAACACACTTTCTTGACTTCTTTTTCCCATGTACTCCCAAACTTCTTGGCTGCCGGAGGAAAAAAAGATGCCGTTGGATTCCATCGACCAACGCCGACCTTCTAAGCTGCACCAACTCGCGGCTTCGCCGCCGCCGGAGCCGGAACACCTCCGCTGCCCGCGCTGCGACTCCACCAACACCAAGTTCTGCTACTACAACAACTACAACTTCTCCCAGCCTCGCCACTTCTGCAAGGCTTGCCGCCGCTACTGGACCCACGGCGGCACCCTCCGCGACATCCCCGTCGGCGGAGGCAGCCGCAAGCACGCCAAACGCTCCCGCACCATTCCGAGGTCGAGCTCCGGCGCCGCCTCCGACGGCTTCTCCTCCGCCGCCGCCCACGACTTCCGCCACGTCCCGTCGTCCCCCGCTTCGGCGTTCCTCTTCCCCATGTCGGGAACTGCGGAACACGCGCCTCAGATGCTGAACCTGTGCGGCGCCGGCGCCGGGAGCTTCACTTCGTTGCTGAACACGCAGGGGCCCGCAGTTGGGCTTCTGGCGCTGAGTGGGTTCGGAGTCGGGCCGGGAATGGATGAGTTCGGGTATGGCGGTGTGGGGAGAGCGGTGTGGCCTTTTCCCGGAGTTACCGAAGGCGGTGCAGCGGTGATGGGCGGAGGGACGACGTGGCAGCAGCTGGTTGGGAACGGAGAGATTAGCGGGGACTGTTTCGGGTTTCCGGATCTTGCAATTTCAACCCAGCAGGGAAATGGTAGTATGAAATAAGGCGTCCGTACGTCGACGGTCGGCCGATCTTCGTAGGTGGTAAATTTAAAACTTCCGGCCGCCGCGGTTGTTGTATCTTTGCCGATGTATTTTAGTTATTTAATTGCAACTAGTATTTGGAGTTTTATAGTATTTTATTATATATATTTCATTTAGTTTTAAACAACAAACATTTCTCATCCCTACATGAAGGGTATGGTTCGTAACTAAATACGGAGTACGACGAATTTCCTTTTTCATAAATTGTAAGGCACTCCAAAATTCCTCTTTACACCATATTTAGTTCAAGAGACTCAGATGGAAAAGAAAAAAATAGGCTTATTTCATTTTTATCACCAAAATAGATAGAATTGGGGTTTTCATTCTTTTTAATATAGTGCTACGTATATTGTTTCTTTTCATTTTTTTCTTTTCTTCTCTAATCAAATATGAAAAATCATTTCTCATCCAATTTATTCTTTCTTTTCATATTCTTTGAAACAAACACCAAACACAGTGTTAACAAGGAATCTCATTTTCATCTTTCAATATTTGTCTAGTTCTTTTTGCATTTGATCTCGAATTAAATTGAAGTTATATGATATACCTCGTATTAATTAGATAAAATAATACTTAGTCTGTCCCGAGTGTTTGTCCACTTTTGACTTTTGAAACTATTTATTTAAGCACTTTGACTCATCAAATTCTCTCAATGTGTAAGTCTAAAAATAGTCATGTTTGATTTTGTTTGATTCGTCTTAACATATAGATTATTAATATATAATTTTTATAATTTTTTAATATACAAATTACAAGATAAAATGGATTAAAGAAGTACATTGGATGATGTGCAAAAATGAAAATGGACAAACACTCAGGGACGGAGGGAGTATTTTAAAAATATTGTATAAAATAAATTTAATAAATATATTATTGTATTAATATCTAATATCAATTTTATTCAATTGGTGATCAAAGTTTATCAATTTTTTCATGTATGAAGGTATTACTAGATTCATGTCGGTGTTTTGCAAGGACAAAAGTTTCTTTCAAAATATGAAAATAAAAATAATTAAAATAAATAAATATCTTAATGGAAGCTAAAATGTTGAGTAAAATATAGATTGAATATAACTTAATTGTTTATTTCAATTTCTCAGAATGTACACGAGTACATCCTCCTTTTATCCAAGCAAATATTAACTTTCACACATTTGATATTTCGTCTCTCAACTTCCAAATGTGTAGAGTAGGTGGGCTATCGTGAGTGGGTTATCACCTTAGGGTTAACGGGCTCACGAGGTTAACGAACTTAACGGGCCCTCGGCCCATGACTTTTAACGTTCGAAGATTTGTGACTCCCTTGCGAACGTCCAAGGACATCAAAGGTCTATCAAGTTGAATTTATTTTTTTCTATAAGGGACATCAACGTTTTATGAATTTTCTCAGGATTTAATCTTAATTTGAATAAAATTCATATTTCTCCCGTCTTAATTTAAGTTATTTCATTACTACTCCCTCTGTTCCTTAAAATAGTTCTTCTTTCATTTTTTTCGTTTTCCCAAAAACACTTCCACTTTTGTAAAAATGGTAATATATCTAAAATTAAGCTTTTACAATATATACTCCATTTAATTTGCATAGATATAATATGTCATTTAAATAATTTGTCTCTTTTTTTATTCGATAATAAGAGTATAATTAAAAAGTCTAACTATGAAATTAAATCTCTCCCAACTTAAAACAGGAACTGCTTTAAGGAACGGATGGAGTATTTGCTTATAAATTCCACGGAATTTTATATAAAATAAATTGAGAATATACTTAATCATAAATCACAAATTCAAATGAGTAATTCAAATTTGGATGAATTGAATATAAATATATTTACAAAAATAATTTTAGTAGATTGCTCTTGTAAAATATTTTCAAAATATTATTATCATCTAATTAATAATATATTTTCTAAATATAATTTTTTATCTAATTATAGGATTGACTATCAAAAGTCAAGATTAGACAACTTCAAACCGGGTGGAGCATGAAGATTTCTATCACACAACATGCATTCTCGGTCTCGCAATCACTTTATTCAAGGTAGGAAGTACTCCCTCCATGTCTTTTCATTACGCGTTAGGAGGCTTGACCAACTTTATTTTCAATTTAATTTAATTGATTATAGGAGTAAAATTTTAAAATAAAATTTATATAGTAATAAACTACATGAAAAATTCTATAAAAGTAGAGGTGACAATACTATATTATTTTATGAAAACACTAGTAAATTTGAGCAAATAAAGTGAATAAAGTTTGACCATGTGAATAGTGTCTGAAAACATCTATGGTGGACCGAGGGAATAATTTATATGAATCTCCACCCTCAATTCAGCCATCCTTTCACAAACTACTCCCGCTCCGATACAGCGACACTTCATCTCTATTGATGAAGAGGATGAGGACTTAAACAAGAATGACAACGAAATGAGAATTTTGATTGCTTTAAAGATGATGAAAAAATAGAATTTGAGTTGTGTTTAAGTGATAATGAACAACAACAACAACAACCCAGGTGAATCCCACAACAGTAGGATCTGGGGAGGGTGTGTATACGCAGACCTTGCCCCTACTCGGAAGTAAGAAGGCTGTTTCCAAGAGACCCCCGGCTCCACCTGCACAAAAATATGGAAGGGAACACAGTATAACACAGATAAAGCACCAAGTACAAGCAACAAGTACAAGTAAACAGTACAAACAATAGCAGAAGATTCCAAACAAATACAGCACACTACAAAACTACCTCTACAACACCGAACTCCTATCCAGCTACTCTAATCCTAGTTTTCCAAAGGTTCCTATCTACGGCCATATCCTCAGTCAGGTTGAGAAGTCCTAAATCCTGTCTAATCACCTCCTTCCAATTCTTCCTAGGCCTACCCCTTCCCCTACTTCCCCCGATAACTGTAATCCTCTCGCATCCCCATACAGGGGCGTCAACATCCCGCCGTCTCAAATGACAAACCATCTCAACCTCGCTTCCCGCAACTTATCTTCCAACGGTGCCATGTCTACCTGACGTCGGATAACTTCATTCGAATTCCTATCCAATCTTGTCTTCCCACACATCCATCGTAACATCCGCATCTCCGCCGCATGCAGACGACGCACATGAGTCTTCTTAACCGCCCAACACTCTGCCCCATATAACATAGCAGGTCTGACTACGGATAGATAGAACTTATCTTTCATTCTAGTCTGAATATGATGTTGAGAATGGTGAAACTAGTTGCATTATTGCGATCAGACAGTCAAATGACATTTCTATTGTGATAACAAATAAGTTTATTACTCCGTATAAGGTTAAATATGAGTTTAATCTCCGTAAAATAAATGACTTATTTTTGGTTCTGTCAATTTCTTTTTTTGTTGGTGAAAAGACAAGGGAAACATCCAATGACCAATATGTATATCCATAAGTTCACTCTTTCTAATTTTCCCCTTATGCCTTTTGAATTAGAGTGCGCAGTATAAATATTCTACTGTAAATGGATTGCACAAAATTAGACTCCTGGGCCAAAGACAAGATATGGGCCGGGTTTTTAAATTAATGGTTTTGGCCAGGTCGGGTGTAGTTAAAAATCGGATATGTTATTTCGAATTTTCTCAACTGCAATAAATAATACTCTATAAAAATTAACTGTAAACAAAAAGAAGTTGGATGTTCCAGAATTAAAACTGTATTTTTAATAATAATAATAATAATAATAATAATAATAATAATAATAATAATAAAAACACCACTAATGCATCATTACTTCACACGTTTGTCTTTCATGTACTGAAAATTTTCCAAATAATTGATGAAAATAAGAAGTCTCTATAAAATAGAAGTAACATGACTATATTTTTTTTTCCAAATGAGTAACAAAAATGAAAATGGGTAAGAGTTTAGACTACTTAAATAATTGAGACGGGAGAAGTATAAATTTTATTTAATTTTTTATCAAATCCAGAGAAAATCAACAAATAAAGTATAAATAAGGCCTTCGGTGACAATTGGTACAGTTACAATATGAAAAAAAAATGTATAAATTCAACTCGACAGACCTTTGATGATGTCGTCCGGATCCCTCAACTCTCAAGCAAGTAACAAATCTTCAGACCTTGCCGAGGGTCCGTTAACCTCGTGACCACCCGGAGCCCGTTAACCCCAAGGTGATAGCCCACCCACGAAAGCCCAAAGGCACAATGATCGGGGGGTACCTATTCCCTGACTACTCCCAGCCCAGGCCCTTTCCGCTGCCAAGCCCAAACATCTTTGGATGTTTCTCCTCGTATTGGAGCTCGCTCTACGGTCACTTTCTCCAACGCTCTCCCATTTCTCAGCAAGTACTTGACTAATTCTATTTCCTTTTTTAACCCTCGGAAATTCAAAATTTCAACAATTTTAAGATGAGACAATAAGCAGTCGGGAACACGCCGAGATGGATGATCCCATTCCAATGAGCCGCCGCCGCCATCATCATCACCAGTTTTGGAAAAGTTTAATGTTTCCTGGGAAATAGAGAAACCAAACAAGTAAATAATTGATGAATAATACTGGGGGGACACCATATTTGGCTTAATCCATGTTAACACTACGGCAAAAACAGACACTCAACGTTACGTGCCATTTGGTTGGTGAACCCCTAGGATTGCCCATGATTGATCGAATGCATTAAGAAATCAAAGGGGAAAGAAAAGAGATCATCATCATACATCATCTTTGTGATTAAATGTTAATGCTAAACGGCTCAATTTTGGCGACCTCTCTAGAAACGTATGGAGCAGATCAAGTGTGACATTCCAGTGAGTACCAAATACCAACTCCGTCAAATTCTCATATTTGGGCATCAACTCGCATCGGTTGAAACCCTATAAAAAAAAGCAAGAAAATGTTCTTCAAAAATGTTCTTCAGTGTCACGTGTTAGCATCGGTTATCGACCACCACATATTTCATTTGGCAATTAAACAAGACAAAGTGATTCATTCAACTACTTGAGGATTACCTTGGTGACAAAATGTAGCGATTTAACCTTAGAACTCCCTTTAAGAAGATCATGTATGGCAATATGATGAACATCTTCAAATGGGGATGCTGACGACAATTTCGGGCCTTCAGATGGGAATACTGGCAACAAATTCGGGCCAAGTGGACTATAGAGAATAAAACATGCCCCCGCGAGTTGATGTGGCTTTTCAAACACATAACTTTCATGTATGGAATCTTCGATGGAAATGTGCAAAAGAGATGGAGTATTGAGCACAATGTGGAATTTCGGAAGATGTTCAGATATGATATAGAGACTGGAGTAGTGATGCAAAAATTCAAGAATCAAGTGAGTGAGCGTAGGAACAGAAATGTTAATGACTCTCACATTTCTTCCCATGCATCTCTTCAAGCACAAACTGCCAAGCACGGGGCATCCACTGAGAAGCCTAGATATTGAGTCATCATTTGGAAACTCGACACCATGCAGTTCAACATGGTTCAGACAAGGTAACCATACCGAATCAGGGACATTCATGAAAACTTTGCCCAAGTTTAGCTTTACCAGTGTTCTACAAGTAAACAAGCTACTTGGTAGTACAGCAAAGTCCAATGCATTGACAATGACATCAAATTCTCGGACATTATTACCCTTCAGTACGGTAGATAGCCATGCGCGAACAGATGAAGCATCATAGCGTTGGCTGCATTGGAAACGGAATGTCTCTATGCCTGAAACACTTCCGGTTAAGAGAACTCGATGCACGAAATCCACAAATTCAAATCTGAGCCGCTCAAAACTATTCTTGCTTTCCGGACTTCGCAATAAGTAATCATCAATGGACAAGCGGGTGACCAATGGCCAGAAATCCTTCCATCTAGATGATAAAACACTTGTGGCCACTGCATCTTTTGTGGGAAGAAAAGAGAGTATATAACCAATTAGACTGCTCGGCAAATTGCTGATCCTATCTTCACATGGCCTCTCCAATTGTTCCGCAACAAGTTTATGCCTTTTTGTGGTTGTCCCCATAACTGCTATCTGGTGATTGATTGATTATTCAACAAAACACTGGAAAAAAAGATGCTTAGGGGAGAGTTTCTACCGAACGATGAACCAATTTGATGCAATCAGACAAAAAATAAAACAAATAAACAGCACAGTACACAAAGCATTCCCATGCACCACCACATTAAACGGAGGTGCCAAAGCTGCCCTCTTAACGCTTGAATCAAACTATACATCTAATTGTGAAAAGAAAACAATTCAATATGTGTATCATCTATGTTGGTTCATACTTTGCCAACTGGGCAACCTATGCCCTACTCTTATTATCAATGCTTTGTTGTTGCTGCTGTTGTTGTTAGTAAGCCCATCCTTCAAATATGTGTACTTTGGAGCTTTTCAGGTTTAAGCTATTTTTGGGTTTCAGCTTTTCAGGTTTAATAGAACTACTTCAAACCCAGTTATTGATGTGTGTGTGAGAGAGAAGCAACAGTGAGATTTGAAATTGAGAAATTACCTTCCAAAATCGTTCCGTTTCGTAGGAGAGGATTTATCTCCGAAGATGAGCGTCGGATTCTCTCCCGTCCGCCGCGGTTGTCCGATTTGAGGCGGATCTATGGATTCACTCTAACTCTGTTTCTCCTCCCCCTCCTCGATGACTACTATGTTGTCCGGAGAATTTGTATCCGGGTAGAAATCCAAGCATTTCCAAATTCTAGATCTAAACCGGATTCCAAATTGGAATATACTAAATTCTTCCAAACCCAATCCAATTGTATATGCTAATTTTTTTTTTAAATACAAATATTTTTGTTTAACTTTTTCAAAATATAATTTTGAATTATTAACTTGTCATCATTTCAAGCACAAATATTTTTCTTCTCTTTACAAAAAAAATATAATACTTGGTCCGTTCCTGAGTATTTGTCCACTTTTGACTTTTGGAACTGTTCATCTAATCACTTTGACTCATCAAATTCTCTCAATGTGTAATCCTAAAAATAGTCATGTGTGATCTTGTTTGATTCGTCTTAACATATAGATTATTAATATATAACTTTTATAATTTTTTAATATACAAATTATAAGATAAAATGGATCAAAGAAGTGCATTGGATGGTGTGCAAAAATGAAAGTGGACAAATACTCAGGGACGGATGGAGTATAAAAAAGAACAAAATTTGATTTAACTTGACTTTATAATAACGTTTGAAATTGGATCTAGTCTGGTCTCATCTGATTAATTATGATTTGATTTAAACTTCAAATCAATAATTCAATTTGACTTTATAATAACGTTTGAAAATTATAACGATACTTCATATTATAATATAATCAATATTTTTATTTTATGATTATTTTTTAATAAAATAAAATTTGTTAATTCACACGGGGTATCTTAGAATAATCATTCATTTTATAATGTATTAATAGTTTTTATTTTTTTGTGAAATTAGAATATTAATTTAATATTTTAATGATTACTTCATATATGCGTTAGAATATATATTTAATTTATATATACATTAAAAAGTAATTACATTTAAATAATCAATATATAGAAGAAATAATATTTTTATTAAAATATCTTATCCTTATAAAAAATAAAAACATTAGAAACACAAATTACATGTAGCAATGCAAATGTATTTTAAAAGTATTTAAAAGAGCTTTTTTTGAAACGGTTAAAAAAAGGAGAAATGTTTTCAGGGACGAATGAAATATTTTTTTAGCAAACTAAACAAAGTGAAAGCTTAATTGATGGGTTACATGTGGCACATGATCTTGAGAGATATGCACTCTCTAATGATGTGTCATTACTTAATTGATTATTTGACATTATTATTTTAATTTGTATTAATTAAAACAATTTTCGTTATTATTTTATTTGATGACAATTACATTTGTATAAAATTTTTAGGTCACATGTACATTACACCTCGGAGAATGTCATGCCACGTGTTTTTTTAATTAATTATTAAAGTTTCATGAAAACCTTTCACTTCTGTACATTAAATAACCTTCATTTTTATTATAGTTTTATAAATTCTTCACTTTCTTGCACTAAATAGCCATTATTATTGACTAAAAAGAACATTTGTTATTGCTAAATTTTCAAAGCAGTATTATAACATTTTTATCACATATAAATATTTATTAAATACAAAATTATTTCAAACTTTTTATCCTATTACATACTACGAAGTATACTTTAGTATATGGTGTATATTTTTTTCAACTAAACAAAAAAAGTTAGAGTTGAAAAAGTGCATATTTATTTTTATTAGGTTTTTATAAACAAAACAAGTGCATATTTATTTTTATTAGGTTTTTATAAACTTCATATATCATATTAAAGATTTAAAATAAACAATAATTTATTTTTTAGATGTCAAATATTAGCATACATGCGAGTTCGTGTGAAGCTTGAAAAAGAACTAACATTATATATATTTTTAAACGATCCACCATTTAAATTATATTGTTATTTTTACCAAATAACTATAGTTTATTAATTATATATTTACTAACTATATAATTTATTTTATTTCAAAATGTGTTATCTGTAACATTATTTAGTTTGCTATATATCATTTCAACAAATTAAATTAAATTGATTTGTTTTTCTTGAAGTATAACACATGGCATATGGGCTCATTTGTATTTTTTAATGATTTATCATACCTTAATTTATTTGGCATTTTTATTTTATTTTTTCATTAGTTAAATCAATTTTCATTAGTATATCATTTAATAAAAATTTGATATTTTTGGTCAAGTTGCTCTATACTTTAACTACAAAGTGTGTAAATTTATAAAAACTGTGTCTATTTAAAATATTGTTTTCATATATCAAGTTTTTATGAACTAAAAATAGAGAGTTTAATGATTAAAGTTTAAAGTAAAAAATCAAAATGGTGGAGAAAAAAAATAACAAAAAATAGCGAACAGGGTGGGGGGGGGGGGATTCGAACACAAACTCTTAAAGAAATCTGCATAACTACCAGTCTACCACCCATCTAAGCAATGCACCTCTTCGTAATGTGCCCCTATTTAAAACACTTATATATATAACGGATACTTGAGTCTATTTGACTACCCTTTGAATAGGTCCGCCCCTGTCAGACCTTTCTTGAATTCTGGTAAAATTGAAAAGAACGAGTTCTTGCAGATGCCGGGAAAGAAGAAGTCGCCGGCGAGACTCCCGGCCCTTTATCGGGAAGGAGAAATGATTTCGCCGGAGGAATTCTATAGAAGAATTCGCTCCAGGTACCCCTTCATCCCCTGCCCTCCACCACCACCGCCGCCACCACCGCCAGCGGAGAATTCAGATGGCAATTTTGACGAATTTGATGAATGGGTCCGGTCCAAGGAGATGGCTGTGCTTTCTCAAGATTCTGCAGGACCCTCCACAGCATCCTCTGCTTCGCCGGAGTTTTTGTCTAATCCGGTGGTCAAAGGCCTATTAGACTGCGCTAGTGTAGCTGATTTGGAGTCGGAAAGTGCGGAGAAATTGCTGGGTCAACTCAGAAGTTCGGTTCCCCAAGACGGAAACTCGAATGAGCGATTGTGGTTCTATTTCTTGGAGGCCCTTTCCAGCCGGATTTCCAAGATTCCGGCGAGGGTTCCCCTGGCGTTAGACTGCTGTTGGGAGGAGTTTTCCCTATCATACAGAGGGTTCTACCAGAGCTGTCCATATTTGAAATTTGGGTTCTTGGCATCAAATATAGCTATTCTCGAAGCCTCAAAGAACTCTGCAAGAATTCATATAATCGATTTTGGGATGTTTCATGGGCTTCAGTGGGAGGATCTTTTACCGGCTCTGGCCGGCCGACCCGCCGGAAAACCCGAGAATGTCAGGATAACGTGCATTCCATCTGCTCTCATGGGAAAGAGCGCCGCCAGAATTCTCCAAGGGACGAAAAGGCTTCTCCATGATTTTGCCAGAGTTTTCAAGATGAATTTGGAGTTTGAATGCGTGGAGATGCCGATCGAGGAGCTAAACGGGTCAAATTTGCGGGTCGACCCGGATTACTTTTTGGGCATCAATTTCAGGCTGGAGCTCTTCAACCTCTTAGACGATATAACCTCAGATGTACCGGCCGCCTTCAAGCTGAGCAAGCTGCTGAAGCCGGACGTGGTGACGCTGGGTGAGTACCCAAACCGGGTCGGGTCAGGACCGACCCGTTTCAAGAACACCCTCCATTTCTATTCTTCGATATTGGAGTCTCTGGATCGCAGCCTGCCCACAGACGCACCCGGAAGGCTAGAGCTGGAGCGATTGATGATCCGCCGCAGGATTTTAGTGACGGTGGGTTTCCTAGAACCGCCGGCCCAGTTGGAAGAGAAAGAACCATGGATGTTGCTGATGAAAGCTGCAGGGTTTGAGGCTTGACCCGTGAGTGATGACACAAAGGTTGAAGCACGCATTCTCCTCTCCAAAAAGAAGTACAGTCAATCATATGGCTTAATTGATTTTCCGGTGGGATGCCTATCGCTAGCATGGAACGGTGAAGCCATCTTCAGTGTTTCTTCGTGGCACTGATCTTTTTGCCCCACCCCCAAAAAAAAAAGAAGAAACGGGAATAAACAGAAACAAAAAACACAGTAAATTTCTTACTCGTCTTCATCCTCTGCCCTCAATGGCGTGGGAAAAAACAGAAACAAAAAACAGTATGTCTTGGTGATATCCCTTCTAATATAGGCCCAATTATTTTTTAGCCATTCTTTTATTCTGTACTTATACAAACACATTATGATGATGGAGGGAGTAATAGGTTTGTTTTTCAAAGAGTAATGCTATAGTTTGGAACTGCTTTTTAGAAGAAAGTATTTTTTAAGAGTTCAAACTGTAATCTTGGGAAAGTTTTTAGAATGCAAGTCGAAAAATCAGCTACACAAGTATTGGATTTTAGCATTTGTTATGCCTTTTAAACTCGGGTGTATATATATAATAGAAGTGCAACTCAAAACTCACCTTAAAAAAATGTATGTAGATAAATAAAAGTAGATAACAAATTGTATTTAAAATAAACTGTATACCCGAGTATTTAAAATAAACTGGATGGAGATGAGAAGGAAGAATGAGAACAACAAGAATTTACATAGAGATGGAATGTGAGCCACATACATAGATTGGGAATGGGGTGGGGGCAGGTCTTGCAAAAAATGGCTCGACCTGTTTTTTTTTACTCAAAACTTGACCTAGGTTTTAAACAAAGATTTTGATGATCAAACCCAAAGTTGACCGAATTCAAAATGACTAGCTAAATATGGGTCGACTTCGACCGAACCTGAACCCGACCTGGACCCGCTAAAGTAAAAGTTTTTCAAAATCAAACACTTTACTACTCGTTTTTAATATATAAATTTATATTTTCGGAATTTTTTTTAATAATATTGCATAATTATCTTACTTTTTTTAAATTTAAGCATTTTTAAAATTCCTTATAACTAAATTTTTTTTAGGATATAAAATAGAATAATCTAATAGATGTAATACATATTTTTTGATATTTTAAATTTATTTAATAGATAATGTAAGTGTTAATGTGAATTTAAAAAACCAAAGTCAAATCCCGTTGGGTCGACCCGAACCCGATGATATTGGGTCATGAACAGTTATCAACCCATATCTAAATTGACCCGAACTCAAAATAACCCAAACTCGAAGTGACCGAATATAACCCCGATCTAACCGACCGATTTGTCAGATTCAAATAGGAGTGAATAATATAGTTAAGGATGAATAGTACAGTTAACGGAAGAGAGACTACAAGATTACAACATTTGTCGCAATAACTTTGAAAAATCACTTGATTTCATATTTTTACCGCAATTATCGAAAAGAAGATTATTGTCGCATGTAGGTCGTATGGAGGAGCCTGTGTATCCTACAAGGTAACGCTTCTTCATGCGTCATCTTCAAAACTTCATCATGTTCTACGCTCAAAATATTTCGGCATAATTCTCTGTATCCCTCCTTATCCAAACTCATAAAAAACTTGGAACTCCTATTTTAATACTCCGTATGATATTTATGTTGTATTCCTATTTAGAATAATTTCTTTAACACAAAAGTAATAAACATATGGACCAGATTTAACAAAATTGAATAATACTCCGTATATGAACTAAAGTTTACCAAATCTCTGAATAGTTCACATTTTTTTAATAGTATAGGACCCTTATCAATACCTGAATCAAATGAAGATTTATTTTCAAACTTGTGGACTATTGAACAAAGGATACATGTAAATACTCACAGATGAGAATTGGCAAATACTCTTTAAGTGAAACTTAACAATAGATTTGTAAAAGAAATATGAACTACTCCGGGTATATAAGACGCATAAATGAAAAANAATAATTTCTTTAACACAAAAGTAATAAACATATGGACCAGATTTAACAAAATTGAATAATACTCCGTATATGAACTAAAGTTTACCAAATCTCTGAATAGTTCACATTTTTTTAATAGTATAGGACCCTTATCAATACCTGAATCAAATGAAGATTTATTTTCAAACTTGTGGACTATTGAACAAAGGATACATGTAAATACTCACAGATGAGAATTGGCAAATACTCTTTAAGTGAAACTTAACAATAGATTTGTAAAAGAAATATGAACTACTCCGGGTATATAAGACGCATAAATGAAAAAGAAGATTTAGAACCTTAAATTCTGAAAACGACGGAAGAAATTGGCATGGACCCTACCAACCTTTCTGTTTCAGTATCCAAAATAGCCACACATCAAGTATTCTCCTTGAGAGAGAGAGAAATATCAGAATTTAAGAAACTGAGAAAGGATAACTTAGCACCAAGTGTTTATTTTCTTGTTTATTTCAAGAAAATGGATATAAAGTCTAAACAAAACTCGAACTTGTTTTTGAGATGAAGCTACAAAATTGATGAAATAAATGGAAAGAAGATAGGATTGAAACCTTCTTTCTGAAAGAAAAATGATGAAATCGATGCTGAAGTTTGGATGTACCATGCCTGCTAGCTAGATGATGTCCAGGAAGATGATGAATTGTTGATTGCACTCTTGTGACACAATAGATGATCTCCGCCTTCTACCTCTTCCTCAAGCTGCAATGTTCCGAGAGGACTCCCGGTCATCTCCGCGACCGAATAACCTTTGTCTTTGCTATATCACTTGTGCTAAAGTGAAGGAGAGAATCAGGACTCCCAGAAGCGAGCATCCAAAGCCTGACCAGAGCCTCCATATACCCCCTCTCTAAACTCGTCCATCACCGACTCTGCACACCATTGAATTAAATGTACACAAAACTACTACAGATATCATCTCTCTTGCAAACAAAAAACAAACCTAATCATCTATATACTTAACAATATAAATTTCACATAATCAAAAAATTGAATATTCTTCTATATATATATATATATATATATTTGTTCAAATTAAACTTGTCTTATTATCTATTGTATTTCATATCTCCTAAATGTACCTCTAGTGCTTCTAGGGTCTTGATCAATGGCAATGTAAGCATAACTATTTATGTTCGTGTAGTCATAGCCTCATAGGTTTGGTTATTATAGTAAGGAGAGTAAGCATGTGATAATTCGATGAACTTGAAAATTTTGTAAAATGAACATGCAGAAAATTTGAAATTTTTAAAAAAGTTGGCAAGAAAAATGTGAATCTCTCTCATTCTCAATTTTTTAGCATTTCTAATGTCAAGATTCATTAGATCAATATTCCCTCATGGTGCAGCTCATTCCATAACAAATCTTTGGGAAAGATTCTAATTGTTTCCTTGCCATTCTAATTACCGAGTATTAGTTTATGAAGAGAAACAATATAAAAAGTGGAGTTGACCATCAAATTCTCCTGCCATATGAACAATGTCACAGGTGACATCAATGCTATAGAAGTTGCAAGCAAAGTGAATAATCAAGCCATTTTTGCATTAATACCTTGAATTCATGCCTAACCATATTAGAAAAATAGAAATCAATTAATTAAGCTAGAGATTTGGGAAGTCAAAATAACCCACAAAGGATCATCACATTCATCTTTCTTATTGTGAAGAATGTGAACAAATACTTCGAGTTCATACCTGTTTAACAAAATGAGTTAACTCAGGTTAATGAAAGAGTCCATCCTTGTGGGAACGAAATTATTCGAGCTACAATGCCAAACCACCATCCATGTCTAACCCGATTTTGTCTAACTCTAGGAGTTCCTTTCACTTTTCAATATGGGTTTCTATATTTTCTTAATCTCTGACTGCAAATGATGATGGTTTTAAAATATAAAATAAAATAAAATAAAAAAGAAAAAGAATAACAGGAGTGTAAGACCGGTAGGTAAGGACATAAGGTTTGTTGCTTTCCAATTCATTCCCTAATTGTGCTCCAACGTCGGCAATAGGCATTGTGAGTCCGACGCTTCCATCCGTCCTCTCTGCATGGTTCCCCCCCCCCCCTCTCTTTGAGACCACTAACCACAAATTGCAATCAAATTTACATACAATCTAAATTATTCGACGGCCATGAAAACCTTACTTAGCGAAAAAATATTATTAGAAAAGAGTGAAAAGAGATCAATACAAACCAAAAAAAAGAAAATAAAAAGATAAGGACCCAAATTAAAAGCCTTAGAGAATACAAAAAAAAATGAACTAACAATCACCACTACAAAGCATGCAAAGTTCCATAAACTTAAATGTCAGAGGCAAATAAAGAAAGTAAGCTTCAATGAATGTAATGAAAGGATCATATTAAATTTCAGTTTCAGTTTTACTTAAATCTAACATTAAAGTGTTGAAGCAAATTCTCACCTCCTTCAGATTCCCCAATTCGCTTCTTTGGATGCACCTGCAAAGTCACAATTATCATATTTTTACATGGGAGGGTTGCATTAGATGCTTGACTTAAATGGTTAAATACTCTCAATTATTACCGGGAATTGTATTATCCCCATACCATACCAGATAACACAAACTCTAACAGGGACATAGCATTTTTTGAAACTCATTTGATAAAAACAGAAAGATGTATAGAAATGATATCTTGAATGAGGCCAACATGTAGGACTACTTTACCTGATGAGGTACCTGCTTTGATTTTGGAGAGGAGGAATAGAACATCTGGTGATCTCATTTTGATGCTTCTCCTTGCAATCACGAGGATCAGTCATGGTTTTTCCATTCTCTAACTGCTGCTATATCAAATAAATAATGGAAGGAGGAATCTCCAGTTGCTGGAGCATATTATTGCGCAGTTTATATGACATCACTTTCTGGACCAGGATTTCAAGTATGTGGCTATCATATGAATCACTTGATATCCTATCATGCCCATCTTTCTTTGCACTGAATCTAGTAAGACACCAATGGCTGATTATGATGATAGACATTATTCTCTCTTTGACTTTTCTTCAAGTAAAAATTCCTCTTGATATCTCCAATGTGGTTTATCAGTGAATACTTCACTTTTTTCTAATGGCTGTGGAGGATTTGAGAATTGCAGAAAACATTGGATGAGTTTCAAGAAGAAAGATCATCTTAATTTCTTCTTTGTCCATGTGAGTTATCTTACTCCATCAAATGAAACTCATAATAGAATAAAAAGGAGTGACCTTGTCCTTTGTGCCAAAGAAAAATGAAACAAAGAACAAGACTAAACTGAGTTTTGCAGTCTTCTTCAACATTTGTTAAAAAACTATCAAATTAATCAAAAATACAAATAGTACTCACAAAAAACCCTAAAATTGGATTTCAAGAAATATAATAGAGCGAAGAGATTAGGGATTAATAGATACCTAATCAGTGGAGGCGACATTGCTACGGAGGCTTGAACTGGGTAGGCAAGTTAACGTAGAAAAATTTCTTAAGTTTTTGGGCAGCGGCAACTCTATCGCTGTTGGAAATCTAGAGCGGCAGCCACAAGTTGCTATGCACATCAGTTCAATACCTTTTATGGATCTGCGTGCTTTATTCTTCATCGGCTCAAGGTGGGAGAAGGCATTATAATAAACTGCTCACATTTTTGGCGATTTCATGACATTTTTCTTAAAGTAAAAATAAATTGTAAGAAACTGTTAAAGCCTTTAACAACAACACTAATTATAATAGTATAACACACAGTAGGCAAAATGAGATATACAAAACAGTCACTGAAAAGTACAAAGTGCAAAGGTATATCTCTTTCACATATCCCTTAAAGTTTGCTATCTCTAACCAAATCTTGATAATAAACAAAGTCCTTAAGTTTAAAGGCTTAAATACTAAAAGACATTAACATGCATTTACAACAAAAAAAACTAAAAATAATTTAGAAAAAAAACGGAAACATTATTTAGACCTTAACTTATACGGAGTACTTTATACTGCATGTCTGCATATACACTGATCCTTGAGTTACATATTTGTAGTTTAGGACAAAACTCATATTGAGATCTTCAATTATGATTCTAAACAAATTGAAGAAAAAAAATAGATCCAATTGATATTCGAAGTGTAAATATAAGATCTTTCAATAAAATAACTAAAATAAAAGTTTCAAATTGGTCACCTTTGAACAGACACTTCCGGATCCAGCTCGGATCTTCAAGATTTTTTCAATTTGCCACATAATTACTATCATTGTCCTTAATACTCCGATTTCAGCCTGCTGATCATGAAACTTGCCGGTATTTGTCGGTAATGAAGGTGTCACTGACAAGATTTTCCTCACCTTCGGTTGATGAATAATAAACCTGATCCTTTAGTTGAGTGGATATTAAAATTAGGGACATGCCTAAAATTGAGTGGCTATGAAAGAAAATGTGACCCAGCCTTTACTTTAAAAAAAAATGGTTTTAAACTCACGACATATTTGAACATCCTAAATTAATATTTTTATCAAAAATTTATTTGTGATGAAAGCAGTGCGGATAATTTCATCAATTCTTAATTCTTAATATAAAATACATAACATAACCAAATTCACAAATTCATTCTAACCTTAAATATTTTGTCTTTAGACATTTTTTTTATTTATGCTCGATGACATAATCTATAGAAAAATTATAAAATTTCTTCCAATCATTGCAAAATTATTATCTACTACTCCCTCCGTCCGGAAATATTCTTCCCATTTTCCTTTTTAGTCCGTCCGGAAATATTCCTCCCATTTCCTTTTTTAGTATGCTTTTTAAGGCTAAATATCAATTATACCCTTCTATTTTATCACAAATCTACTTTTTTAATATTTTTCTAATAATAAAAGGATATTTAAAAGTTTATGATAAGTGCATTTTTGAAAATTTTGCATTTTTTTTACTATTCCTTAATAAGCGTGCCAAGTCAACACGGGAAGAAAATTTCCGGAAGGAGGGAGTATTAATTATTTACCTTTTTACATTTTACATACACATCTTTTAAACTAATACTCTTATAAATTGGCAGCCTATAACTAGTGGTAGGCACGAAAACCGTTCCCGTTGACCCGTTCCGAAACATACCGAAATTATTTTGAAATTGTACCTTTTTTTGAATTTAAATTTTTTTGTCCCGAACCCATTCTGTCCTGATTTTAAGTGGGACATTACCGGAATAACATATAAGTGTACCGTTCCATCCTGTTTGTCCCGTTTTATATATACTCTTTTAAAAACATTATGTGTGTGTGTGTGTCTATACATATATATATATATATATATATATATATATATATATATATATATATAAACACATATATTACGGAGTACTAATTACTCCGTACTTGTCTTGCTTTGAAAATTGAAATACTAAGCCCAAAGGCCAAAGCACCAAAAAATATACCTAGCCCAAGTCTCAACCTTATCTTTCTCTCTAATGTTTTAATGCTTTGGACCGAATTCTCAATATTATTTTAATGTTTTGAATCAAATCAATCTACAGATCTTATTTTGTTGTTTCAGATGAATTTTGTTATTCTATCTATTTCTTGTTTGTTATAAACCCATAAGGCTACAAATTTTATCTTAATTTAAAAATATTAGTCATTTTTTATCATCAAATTCCAAGACTGGACAAAATGCTTCAAGAAACAAGCTTCTCTGTGATGTTGGTTTATGGATTTCTTAAAAAATGTGCTTGACGTACGTTACCATATATAAATAAATATGATTTTCTGTATTCATGTCTATTGTTTTAAGCCTCATTCCTTCTTACCGCTTTGAATTATCTCATATTTGTAATTTTGTATAGTGCCCATGGACATATCGCATATAATCTTATAGCCATATGCCAAACATACATTAGGTATTTGTTTGCAATGGGAAGTATTACCTTCACTGAAGGGAAAAAATTATTTTTGCACAACTAAACAAGTGTGATTTGTTTAAAATCAAGGAATCCTATTTCAGTGGTAAGAGGGGGGATTTATATTTTATGGGAAGTGAATTTATTTTTCTTGGAAAACACTTCCCACCCAAACAAAGAAACACTGTTTTATGTGCACACTGCACTATGAACCACAACTGCTCCTTTTCTTCACACACGCTTTTAATACTTGTTGACATTCTTGTAGCATTTATTTTCAATCTTTTTGTTTTCAATTTTCATTATTGTCCGAAAATTAGAAAAAAGTAGGACAATTCGAAACCGTTCCGTTTTATCTAGGTCTTGAAAATTATGAGATAAAGTAGGATATGCTTGTGGTTCGAACCGTTCCGAACCGTTTGAGTATAACGTGACAGGACGTGGGATCGTAAGAAACCCGAACCGTCTTGTCCCGTGCCCACCCCTACCTATAACATGCTGATTATTAACTACCACATCGTCCTATTAATGACAAAATTTCCATATTTTTGGTAAAATATAATGTGTTTAATTTGTAAAATCTGTAACGCTATATTTGGTTCAAAAAATTCAGATTAAAAAAAAAGAAAAATGAGCCTAAAATCTGTAATGCTATATTTGTAAAATCTGTAACGCCATATTTTTGTAACGCTAATTTGTGTCTCAATTTTTTTTTCTTCCTCTTTTTTTTTTTACTCTCTAAACGAAAAAAAATCCTTTCCATCTAATTTTATTTTTTTTCTTTCAAAATATTTCAACAAACATAGTGTAAATTGATATTCAGCCTCCACCGCATCTGAACTTGATCCTAGAGGGCAAGCCGTCCACTCTCAACCCTACAGAAATACGGAGTATTTGAGGAAGTTTTTTTGTTCTTATTCCGGCAAAGGGAAGAACGCATTCAACAAGTCCCTAACCGCTGACGGCGCTAAGCAAGTCCGGGCCTGCCGCCGTCGACATCTCTGCACCAAGTGCCCGCCCGCCGGGAGTATGAGTTGCCGGGAAGTGCACTTGAGGCTCTGTAGTCTAATCTCTGATTCTCTCCGTACATATGCTGTAAGCTCGTCGGTTCACGGTGTTTTTCATCCTACCCATTATCACCTCAGCGCACAGTTTTCCAATTCGGAATTTCATTCTAATATTGTGCTTTTCAGGAACGTATTCCTAGTTCATTTACCAAAGAGAATGCTAGGGACCTATTGATCGTTCTCTCCCAAGTTTGCTCACAAATCAAGCTGTGGACGTCCGGAATTGCATCCGAATCTGATTCCGATATGGTTAGTTTTTTTCTCAATGTGCTGAAATTTGGATTAGCTTTTGAGAGATAGTGTATTCAACTGTGCCTGCCGGACTACATTGTCAGCAGGAAGGTTCTGGAGACTTTGATTGTGTTATTGATTTTAGCATTGTGAATGGCTCTGATACTGGAGGCCATCTTTGTTTGTCCAAAGCCATCAACGTCTTGGTAAGTATTTTAACCCATATAGAAAGGGAAATCCTTTTGTCATTGAAGGCATCTGACCTTAAACAACAACAAACCCAGTCGAATCCCACCAAAGTAGGGTCTAGGGAGGGTGTGTATATGCCGACCTTACCCCTAAGTGGCAATATTTGATTTGTGAAAATGTTGTTTCAGTTCTTTGTCTGATGCTTTCTCCTTATGAATTCCATATTCACATGCCAATCTTGTTATACATGTCATTCGCAGACGAAGTTGCTGGCTCTTGACAATCCATATGTACAACACTTAGTGGGTAACAATCTGGTGGCAATTTCTGATTTCATAATTGCATCTGTATGTTAGAATACCACACCGCTTAAGTTCACTGCATTTGCAATTCTTTATCCTACTTATGTACTATTGTTCTTTTTAGGGAAGTAGCTGGGGTGAATTTAAGCTGTTACTTTCTCTCTTGAAATTGGCTATTCTTAGCTCTATTCCATCATCTACTGGACCTATAAGGGTAGATGCCAATTCAGCAGCTCCTGTTTCACCCATCAAACTCCACCATACGAGTGACAATTGGTCAAAAGCATCTGTAATCATTCAAGTTTTACGTAGGGTACTGAAGGGTTTGAAGCAAGATGTTGATGATCACTTTCTAAAAGTGTTCTTGGAGTTGATGAACTCATTAATTTCAAAAATGCCATGGGATTTGTTGGATGAGGTTTTTGTCAGAAAAACCAGTAAGGCTTCAGGAAGCCTCAATACCGATGGTGTGCTTCAATTCCAAGATGCAAAGCAAAACCCAGCAATTATGTTTCTTGGAGGTTTCATACAGCTGTTCTGTTCCTTACTCGGGTTGTTAAGCCTTCCCATAGATGCTGTTACAGATGATTCACAAACACACACAATTGTAACTGAGATCAGGAGCATCCTTCCCAGGCTCCTGGATTGGTGCCTTGGGAATTTTCAGAACATCAGGAGTGTATATATCTCTAAATATTACAAGCACAAGTTCCTGGTATGATATTTCCTCACCTAATCCTTTAGGCTATGTTGGAACTCGGAAAATGGTATAGTAAACACTAAACATAAAAGAGACTAAGGAAAATGTTTTTTAACGTTTGGGTTTGCCATTGAAAAAATGCTTCAATTTGCCCATATATCTACATTTTATAGTCCATATATTAGGAATATAGTTAAAAAATGATTTTGAGCAAGTATAAAGTTGATTTATTGAGTTTGAAGTAACCCCTCCTCCGGGTCACATGCACACCTTTTCTTTCTTAATTTCTGCCTATTTCCTCAATTCCTCCCTCTTTTATTTCCCTAGCATTTCTGATTTCCAAAAGGACCCATATTGTATACTCCGTTGGAAAACTGACTTTGGGCATCTTTTACACCAACACTACCCATTCAAAATGTTAATGCGCATTCTGCAGATACTCATGATCAGGCTTAGCTCTACAATCCAGTCGGATTGTTCTGTTCTTCTTACATGGCTGCATTTTATCCATCTTCACTTTCAAGATGATTTATGTCTACCAATAGCTGGAATGGAGTCTGACCAGGATAACTGCCTTGAAGGCTCACCGTTTTGGGAATATGTTTCTGATGCAGCAAAAGAGAACATCTCACCCAGGCATTTGCAAAGGCTGGCTATTTTGCTTTTTCTAAGATGTTCCTTCTGCTTGATCAATTCAGAGAGAAGTTGCCAAAACTGTGTATCTACTGACCTTAATTCTAGCTCTACTGGTAACCTGAAATTTGAAGCACAATGCTGCCCTAGAATCATAGGTTTCCAAGAGATCCATAAGTGGCTCCAACTCATTTCTAATGATGATGCTTTTTTGGACACCAAGAAATGTGCTGAATTTATTCTTAGTTTTCAGTTGTCCTTCATCCAGCTTTATATGCATGAGGTTGTTTTTCTCTTAAGCGTTTCTTTTTAGGCTTTAGATTTTTTTTATATAAATAATTATGGATATCTAATACAAGGTTTGCCATTTAGGATGATATTTTGTTTCAGATGCTCCTGGAACTCCTCAGTGTCCCCCTTTTCTCTAGGGAATGGTAGGTTGTTTGCATTAGTTTATCATAGTATTCTACGGAGTATATAGCCATTATAGCTTGCTTTAGTGGGCGCACTGATTTTGTTTTCTCATGTGTATAGGTTTTTTAAAGAAGGAATTCCATCCAGAGACGCGAACGCATCTTCCGTTGTTTTGGATCTTTTTAACCCTATACATTTATTTCACCATTTTCTAGCAGTGGTATACCTTGCTTTATTACTTCTATTGAACTAATACAGATTTGTAGGTGCTCTCTTTTATAAAAGTGATGTCATGACATATGAGCTTGTTGCACTTCTAACAGATTCACTATGACCATCAAGTTCTTCTTGATTATCTAATCTCAAAAGATACAGGAGCAAGTTCTGCTGAATATATGCTAAGGCATGTTATAATCTTCCACTCTTTCTTACAGAGTATTTTCATTTTCAAAATCTTGGTGAAAGGGCCATGACTTAGAAATCTGTAACTAGCCCTTACCATTTGGACAAGTCTAAAAACCACATCCTTAAATCATGGTGAACTTAATCAGTAATAGAAGTAGTTTAGAGTGTATTAAGACTGCTGGTGCTATAAGTACTTCTGTAAGAACAGTGTTCTCATTTCAATGCTCAAGTGATTTTTTTACCTTTTCTTCTTTTCAAGCAGCTCCAATTCGGTGTTTTTTTGAGCAAATCACATAAAAATTATTATCATGTAAATTAAACGCACCTTTTCATTTTCTTGACCAACGCTTCTTTTTAGAGTAAAATAATTGTTTTTCTATAAAAAGCACTTACTACCTCCGTCCCAGAGTATTTGTCCACTTTCATTTTTACACACCATCCAATACACTTCTTTAATCAATTTTATCTTGTAATTTGTATATTAAAAAATTATAGAAATTATATATTAATAATCTATATGTTAAGACAAATCAAACAAGATCACACATGACTATGTTTAGGTTTACACATTGAGAGAATTTGATGAGTCAAAGTTCTTAGATGAACAGTTCCAAAAGTCAAAACTGAAGGAATACTCCAGGACGGAGGGAGTATTTGTTTTGAACAGATGTAATCCCAAACACACTCTTAGGATGGTGACAATAATGTATGTATGCTTGCACCTAAGAATAAAGGTTATGAACTGTAAATGATTTGTGCACTTTTTTTTTACTTGAAAACTTGCAGGTGCTTGCGTGTTATTTTTAACTCGTGGAGCTTATTTCAGAATTTCCAATGGATTGTAAAAAAAGAAATTCAATTATTCCAAATGAGAAGAAAAACTTCAATAGATCATATGAATTTTCACGGGGAGTTGTTCACATCGGTGACGGATGGGATTTGTTTACCTGTAGAACAAAATCAAAAGAAACCAAAACGATGTGGCATCATTAACAGCAGAACTGAGAGACAGCCGTTTGAGTGTGCCAGTAATTGTTTATTGGAGCTGAGAACATCTATTGAAAGCCTCCATCAAAAGAGTCTCTTTCCATATAACCCGCAAGTGCTGCTACAGCGGTGATTGTTTTCTCCTTTCCCCTTTCTGTTTTTCGCATTACATTCTTTACTGTTTCCTAGATTCCACTTAATTAGACCAAACATGGCTGGAGTTGGCCAGTGCTTATTTTTTGTTCTAATTGAATTGGCTATACTCCGTATTTACTTGATTATCAAAAAGAATTTTTTAAAATATTTTTCTGAAATAAGTTGAAGAAAAAATGAAGGGATAGAAATGCCATTTTCTTTCATTTTCATCAAATAAGTGACCCTTACAATCTTTTTTCTCAGCCACAATGTAATAAGTTAGTGTTGGAAGAATCTGATTCATAAGGCTGATGTTTTGAAAAAGAGGAAATCAAACAATCTCTTTATCTTGAAGTGAATGTTTAAAAATACCAATGTGAGGATGAACTAAGTTTCACATATTTATTGCAGATTGTCAAGATTTTGGGAGCTCTCCCAAGAGCAATAGACTGTAATTTCTTATTTTACTGATACAAGACACCAATCTCTTGAAATTTAAACAATGGCAGTATCTGAAATAGCAGCAGCAGCAGATATTTGCAGCAAACAAGAGCAAAGTTCTTGGGGTTTTGTCAGCATGACCATATGACCAGCTGCAGGTATGTATTTCACTTCATGAGCTTGGAGAGAGCTGTTTTGTATGTTGTATTTCTGAAAATCTTGGTCCATGAGCTGATCATCTTCGCAGATCACATATACCCTTTTCACCGAACCATAGTTATCTTCTGTCATCAAATTCTCTTTTCCCATATCCTCCACATAAAGGGCACCCGGTCTTGTTAACAATTTCCCCAGCTCCACATCCTGCACATTTTAGTCAACCAAAGCCTCAATAAATGCCACCCAACCTAATTTCTATTTTTTTTTTCTAAATTTTACCTCTGGTTTGCAGTGCGTGTAAATTACAGCTTCCATGAAACTCGAACCAAGAGTGACAGAATTGGGTGGGTTTTCCTGCCCTTGATCGAATGTTACTTGACAATCCATTAGAAACTCTGGTTTGAGCCTTCCGAAATACTGAAAGAATAAAAAAACAGTTATACTTGTTGCCTTGGCCTCAGTTGGACTGATATCCTATGACCAAAAATATCATTTATCCCGGAGAATGTGGTGACTGCGGTGAGATGATCATGTTTTGATTCAGAAACGAAACTCCAGTAGGGAGTTCTTTCAAAACCCTGTTTGTTTATATTCCAAATAAACTTTCAAAACCCTGTTTGTTTAGAGTTTGTTTGAAAAGGTCAAAGTGAACCACCAAAATACACTTCTTTTGCAGAATGAATGAAGCACAGATGGGATCATACCTCTTGAATAAGGGTGGCCGGAGCATGGTTGGAGTTGGGCATGTAGGCAGCAAGGAAGACGGAAACTAAGACCTTGTTTGGGAAACTCTCCATGGCCATGGATATTGCAAGCCCGCCGTAGCTATGGCCCACCAAAACCACCTTCTGGTCATCGGGAAGCCGGCCCAAGAAGTCAGTCAATGGCTGCACATACTCCGAAGCAGTCGCTATCTCGTCGAGTTTCTTCGGGTGGATTCCGCATGCTCCGAGGTCCAATGCCGTCACCCGGTGGCCGCCAGATCTGAGCAGAGGTATGACCTTGTACCAGCACCATGCTCCATGGCAGATCCCATGAACCAGAACAAAGTGATGAGGTTTCTTGCTGCCTTCCATTTTTGCTCTTTCTGTTGCACCAGTTTCTGCAATTTCTACACCCAGCAAATGGGTGTGGGTCTTGTCCAAATTTCTTGAAAATGGGAGGGAATCTAGCAGCAGATGGGTTTGGGTTTTTTCAATCACCCCGACATGTTCATGTGACTAAATGTTTGACTGCCTAAAATCATGAAATATAATTTTCTTTCTTTGATGAGACTGATGACTTTTTCGGGGCTCGGATGATAAGTTTATTTATACACGCAATGGATACCTACCAGTTTTTGCATTCTATGCACATGCGGAGTAATTCATATAACGAGTGTGACAGAAAATGTGTTCGAACTATATATAGATATTAATGGTTTGAGTCACAAATATGTTGTCTGTGTGTGACATGGTTTAGAATCAAGACGAATATTATCTTCGTCTCAATTTAAATTATTTATTTCAATTTATGATGTTTGTTTTGAGTACTTTCAATTTATTTATATAAAAATAAAAAATTTATATACACCTTCAATTTTATTAAGAAGTGACATGATTATTATTCTATCAAATGAGTAACAAAAATGTGTACAAAAAAAGTATAAACTTTGATAATGTGAATCGTAAACAAATACGAGTAATTTAATTTGGGACCAATTAATACTTACTGCAAACTTCACATTATTATTTGCTTACTACCCGTGATCGTATGTACCATATATGTTTACTAAATTCGTCTCTGTATTTTTGTCCAATTTGACTTCTTCAAGTCAAATTGAACTAGTTTTGAACTTCTATTAAAGAGAAACTACAACGTTATTAGTATAAAAATGATTTAATTAAATTTATCTTTTGACAACTTTTAAAATTTTATTTTATTATATTAAGCTAAAATACAAATTGAGAATAAAGAATGATTAAAGATCATATGGTTTGATTTAAAACAATCAAACTAGATGAATACATTGAGACAAAGTAAAAAAAATATCATGATCTACGTAATGCATCGTTCAACAAGAATTTTATGCCCAATTTTTGGAATGATGTACGTTTAGTACATGAGTTAATAATTACCCTCCAACAATAATGTTTTCGTTGCGTGTTACAGTGTTTGATTGAAATTATTTAAAATTATTTTATATGAAAAATCGTATGGAATATAAAAATAAAAATTACATATTTAAAAACTATATAAAAAGATCTACAAAATTAGAAATAATATGACTATATTATTTTATTGAATGGACAACCAAAAATACACCAACAAAGTAAATAAAACTTAATCCTGTAAATAGTGAACCGAAATATTATTGTTGGATGGAGAGAGTATATCATAATGGTTTTAACACATTATCCTCTATATTTATCTACTTTTATATGCTTGTTTTCTCAGTCCCAAATTATTTGTTGACTATTTGACTATTTCCCAATCAAAAAATTCAATCTAATAAAATTGTTCGGGTGCAATTATTTAATACTCTCTTGTCTCTTGATACAAAAAAAGGTTCAAACTTCATTTTTGCGCACCTCGCAAAACACCTCTATTCTCCCTAAAATATCTAACACCACCAATTTTTTTTATGCGGGTAAAAATTATTTTAGAGATATTTTAAATATACGGAGTATTAGGTAAGTAGAAATATTTTTTAGAATGCACAGAAAATAGAAGTAAAACTATTTTTTAGAGGAAAGGAGTATAGATTTTATTTTATTAACGATGAAAATTTATAAATTTAATTTAAATCGAAACAAATACTCTACAACAAGTACTCCGTATATACGAAGTACTTATAATCTGCATATGTGTTTTCTTAAAGTTCTATGCTCAAGTAATATGCATGCATTTGCAATACTATCACTATACATCTTCCGAAGCCATTGAAAAACACAAGCCTTTTTTTAACAAAGAACTTTGAACCAAAAGCTTTTCAATGAGGCACGAAATTGATAATTTGTTTATGGACATTCAAGGAGCGTCAGTAAATACGGAGTACGGAGTAAAAAAACTCCTGAAGCAATTATTCCTAGAATTAAGATGTACGATGTTAAATGCTATTCAAATGTGTAACTCCCAGATATTTGATGTCCATAAAGGTGTAAATCTTATACTTGAATGCAAGACAATATTCTCTTATTAATTACCTCTACTTTTATGGTCATACTCGAACGGACCTCTCCGTTGGCATACGCGGAAAGATGACCATCCAACGAGAACTTTGTATGCCATTACTCCGTTAAAATACACATGATTCTAAAGCGCAAACACCCCTGTATAGAGATATATAGAAACAAAGCATGGAAAGGAGATCTATAGGTAGAAGTAAGTACATGTTATGCTATATGTACAATATTTGCTTCACCTAATCGTGCTCTTTGAAGTTTTAACCACCACCGTAAAACCATTACACCAATTTCAACCTCAGATAGTCTTTACCTTGTGCATATAAGTCTGAAGCCTTCCTTGAACAACAACAATTTTACCTTATAAAAGTGGGAAAGTGGGGCATTTTCTTGTCAACTGAGAATGCTTGGATGCCCGGTCTGGAGCATCCTCTTGAACATTTCCATCCCAAATGCAGAATCTGATGAACTAAGATAAGGGAACACATGACTTAGTAGCTTCGCCGTTTGGTTTAGAATAAAACTTGTTTTACTCAACAAGGAAATAGAGAAAATTCTTAACATTTCACAATGAATGAAGCCAAACTTGGTGGGTTGTATTAGCTTATTCTGCTAATTAGCCCAATTAAGTAGCTTTTCACTTGCGTATTTGGCTCAAATTAATTTTACCAAACGCTTATCCTTTCATAGAACTCAGCATATTCAACCATCATTTCAGCAATATAACCCCGACCAGACAGGCTCGTAATTTCTAACAATGGTCTGTTTGGTCGCTAAAGACAAGTGAACTGTTTATTCCTATGAGTCTATTAGCAAGTTGAAACCTACAAGTTAGCAATCATAATCCAAAAACACCTTTCCCTTAATAAAAAAAAGGACTGGAATCAACAGGTTAGATTAGCTGGTGAAAAAACTAGCATAAGGTATCACCACCTTCACAACTCATTAGACATACACTATCGAGAATACAATGGAAAAGAAAAGTGCCACAGAATAAAACACTGGTTAATGATAAACTATTTGCAGAGGCAGAGGATGCAGAGAAGAAGGAAAAAGAACTGTACATAATACCTACCCATGAATGGATGATCAAGTATGAAGAACAAAAAAGAAAAAAAATTACCTTGAGATAGTGATCTCATAGGGAAATGAGACACCCTCAAGATTCGGTACCGACGGAACATGGTCCTTTTTTTCATTTACAAATTTGATAATCTGAAACATAACTTCGCGGAGAGAAGATTCGAGTGCTGCCCTTCGAGCATTCCTCTCCTCAGGTGCACTTTCTGCAATAGTTTCATATATGAAAAAAGTCAAAAAGAATATAAAACATTAAAACTAAATCCCACCATCATAAAATTTCAAAAGGAATCTCTCCATGTCGTAAATCCCTCTAATGCAATACCTCCGGGATCAACTACTGTTTTGGATGGATTAGATTTGTTAGAATGTGCTTTTGGGTGGTGCTGAGCAACATTCAGATTGATGTACCACTGTTCCCAGTAGAGCCGTTCAACTTTGTTTGTAAACCATGTTGCCTGCTTGTTCTTCACTTCATAGAATGATAAACAAATCTGCAGTATATGATACATATAATGAAAAACAGAAGGAAAAATACATGTGAATAGCTTACAAAATATGCAAAAGTTAGAAATGCAAAAGTTGAAACAATCTATTGACCATGTCATGGTATAAAATGTGCTACATAATGACTTAATGACCTACATAGCAGAACATATGTGTTATAACTTCCAAAACAAAATTGTATTCACAGACAAATAAGACATATACCTCATTTTTCTTGTTGGGGTGCTTCTCCACCCTCTCAATGAAGTGATCAATCCTCTCCTCTATTTTTTTCTCAACATCAACATCGCCACACTGAACCTGTAAGAATTTTATTATAAACAAAGTAAGATGAAATATGAACACCATGGGACTCCAAACTGAAACCACTCAAAGAGTACCAGACTGATCAAAATAAATATTTTAGAGCAACACAGTCAAACTTCCACGGACATTAAAGAAAAAATGCTAACATAAGACGGATGCAGAGTGTTACTGTTACTTACATATGTAATGTCAAAAAGTTCCAAATCGATGTCCTTTGGCCGCACCAGACCTAATGCTCTGTGGAAAAAAATTGTGTGCAAAATGCCTGCACCCGTTTTCAACGCGGTTAGTCAACTATATAAACTTTTTTGCTAGATGTCCAAAATAGAAGTTTGTGGAGGATTGTCAAGAGAAGAAACTAACAAGTCCCAACTCTGCAACTACTTAGCTGCAAGAAGTGCGCATGGTTCTACTTTCCATAGTGATAGGGAGTGTACCAGAAACTAGAGTAACACAGATTATCAACGCTTCTGTGTTTAAGCATCCATGATCAAAGTCGTCCCATATAAATGGGAGGGGAGATGCAATTTTAGTATCTGGGTTGTGACAGACTAACAATTTCCATCCTTTGTTTTTTATTGGAGCATGAATATCCATATATTCTAACAGCCACAGCATTGGTTCTTCAGCATTCCAGTTTTAATCTCCATGTAGACAGTCGTAAATAAGTCCATTGCCAATGGAGTTAAAAGTCATTTTTCAAAATATTTTAGCTTTGGGTAAATGATGGATTAAATATAAATGGAACATTAAACATCTATTGCTTCTTACTTTCTATGAAGTTTTTGGCAGTAAATGCATCAAGGGTCTAACTGAAATAACCACTCTATGTACATCTTAGCCTCCAAACCCTAAAGGATTTGGGATTATACCGGGTTTGTTGTTGTTTTGACAATAATAGATACTAGTATTAGATTCTTAGTTTCTCCCATCATGGAAGACCAACCCTACGGTCTACAATACAGTTTAAAAAGTAAGACCATTTAAGGTCACAATAAAAATAGACTAAAATTTCAGCCATAACTGAGAGACTATGTTTGTACTTTTCAGATAAAGAGAGGAATGTAATTAACTAATAATGAATGATGTGCTGAGGAGATTGTACATCACATGCCATTAGTTTTCTAAATGCTAACAATCACTAGGTGTTTGCAAAAACAATGATACTGAATAAAAATTATGGTAAGCACAGCAGACTCCTAAATGGCTGGCATTGCCATTACACCATTACATATGCCTCCAAACAAAATGAAACAGAAAACCTAAATCTTCATCTTCTCTGCCTCGTAACTGGAACAACAAAACCAGATTGAAACTAACTAGCAGGACTTATATGCAAATTCCGCAGTAGATTACTTACACAAAGATTTCGAATTAAGCAATCGAACGAAAGGACAATTGGAGATAAGTGGAAAAAAGATAACATAGAAAACTAAATTAAACAAGCTACTCACATCGCAGAACCTCTCGTATCTCAAAGTGTTCCACGTCCTGCAAATCAAAACGAGCAAATTACACTGAGCATGTGCTGAACACGATAGTTCTGTTAACAGATCTCACCGGCTTACCAGCTCTTTGAGTCGAAATTCTACGCAATTCATAGCGATTGTATGCAGGCGGGAGACGATCGACGGTGCCGGAGTGTATCTGAGTTTATCGCGTTAATTAAAAGACTCGGAGAAGATAGTTTATTGTGTTTGAGTACTCCTTCAGTCCTTAAAAAAATTACTGTACCTTCTTTGATCAATATCTAAAATTTCATGACTTTTAAAATAATTTTATTTACAAATTATTAAAGAAATAAAAAATTAAAATTTTATTTTTAAAAAGTACATCAAACACTTTACAAAATAAGATTTGAAAAGAATATTTTATTTTATCAAATCTTTAAATGGATTTTAATTTTTAGAATGTTCTCCCAAGGTAGCATATTTTGGTATGGGGGAGCAGTAGTGGCGTGGTATAGGGTTGTAGTAATTTAGAAGATGTATATTTAAAAATGTAAAAAATGAAGATTTGAAGCCCATGTTTGAAGCCCCAGGTAGGGGTGCATACAAATCAAATAAAATGTATTCGATTCGTGATTCGTATTCGAAAAAGATGATTCGTATTCGCTATATTCGAATTCGAATCCGAATACAAATCATATTTTAGATTCGAATTATTTTCGAATTCGAATACAAATATTAATAGATTCGATTCGTTAATTATTCAAATTATTCGAATATTATAATTTATAAATAAATTTATATATTCTAATATATTAAATATTTGTGTACATAGAAATTTATATATATTCAAATATTATAATTTATAAATAAATTTATATACAGTATATTCTAACATATTTTTACTACATTTTAATTTTTACTACATTTTACATTATTATAAAATAATAATTTAATGTCTTTAAGAAATTTGTTTTAAGAAAAAAAACTACTAATATTTTCGAATTTGAATATTCGAATACGAATTCAAATATGTCAAATATCTATCGAATCGAATACGAATATTTTTTAAAATTCGAATTATATACGAATCCGAATTCGAATACATATCACTTTAATCGAATACGAATCGAATAGTGATATATTTGCTTTGATTCGATTCGTATACACCCCTAGCCCCAGGGCTTCAAACCCATTTCCACTGAATCTGTGAAGTAAGTTAAAGTTGATGTGACAAAGAGAGAAATTTTGAAGCCTCGGGACTTCAAGAGTATTTCTAGTGCTCTAAGAAAGGGCAGCAACGACATAACAATTCGAGGTGCAATGGCGTGCTCTGATAGAAGCCTCTGGGCAGATTAGTGAAGAGAGAAGGTGGGGGTATTTTAGTAAAGTCAATGTTATTTTCATCACACTTAAAAGTGTGTGTCCGGTCCAACCGAAAAAAGAAAAGATGGACGGAGGGAGTAATTACGATTTTTAATTTGTTGACAGAGAACATTTATTTCGTATTCAACAATGTAGTTCTGAATTATGTTTTTTTCAAAGTACATCTCTAATTTCATAACTTTTATTATGTTATACAAGATAGTTCTTAATTATATTGGATTAATTAGAAATACAAGGTAAAAATGTTAAGTATGAAATAAATGTATTATCTCATCTTATTAGATATACCAATTTCATTTAAAGACTATTTTCAAAATAAATTTTTTTATAGGGATGACTTTAACAAAAAAAAATATTTTACATAGACCAAAAACAAAATTAACCTATTTTAGAGACACTAAAAACATATTTTAACTTTTAAAAGTATTATCTAAAATGCTTAAGTCAATTAAAAATATTATTTCCAAAATTAAACCAACATGTCTAGATTTCCCATCAATATTCTCTGTTGGTGGGCCTCAAGCCCATCCAAGACTTCCAAGTAGTATTCTCTTTTTTCATGGATTCCTTAGGCCGGACTTCAAAACCAAATTATCCTTCAGGAACAATGGGGGTTTTAAAATACTTTTTGACTTTAGAATTGAGATAGGCATAGAAATTGTGGTGTTTAAAACCTTGTCTGCACTATACGTTCGTTTTGAAATCTAACTATGTTTAATAACAGCGTCTACAAAATTTATCTAGACCATAAGAATTTTATCAACACAAATATTAATCAAAAAAGTTTTTTCTTAAACAAGGCCAATGTGTATAAACACATAAACAATACAATATATTTTTTGGGGTACAACAGTAATTGTTAAAAATGACAATTTGCGAAGTTGAAAAAAACAAAAAAGATTACAATTAAAACCACCCTCAAGATCCAAAAAAATAATACTAGATGGAGAGTCTACCATACTCTCGTGAACTTAAGTTTTAGTGCTATTTAGTGTAAGTAGTTCTTTATTTTATACCAGTATACCAAAATATTACACTGGGATTGTGAAATTAAAAGACAAATGAGAAAGTTATATAATTGAGGATGAATGTGGAAATGGTTTTGTCCACAATAGACCAGAAAACAGAGACAAATTACAAGATGCTCCAAAACGAAGCAAACACAGTCGGGTTTTGTTTTGATGTGTGAAAACTTGACGTAAGTATATATGTGTGTGTGTAAACAAAAACAGGTACAAACAAAGTATACAAATGTATATGTATATATATATGAACTGCGATGATCCGTATAATTATAGTTGATCTGAATGAGATGAGATGATAAAGCTAATAATTAACGATGGAGAGCTTTGCCACAGAGAAGAGCATTCTTAGGGATCTCATATTCAGTACGAAGACTAATCTCTGAGGAGTAGACCTTGAGGTAACATTGTTGTCCTAGGTATGCTCTGTCCCACATTGCTGACCTTATATTCCACATCCCTTTATTGTCCAATGACACCAGTATAGCTGTCCATCGATTTGGGTAAACCTACATCCATGCATTCTCATATATTTACAAGTGAAATTTAGAGTGAATAGGACTAAACAATAAGTTATTTCCCAATGTATACTCCCTCCGTCCATAAATGACTATTTGCGAAGTTGAAAAAAAACCAAAAAGATTACATTTAAAATTAAACCACCCTCAAGATTAAAAAAAATACTCGATGGAGAGTCTACCATACCCCTGAACTTAAGTTTTAGTGTTATTTAGTGTAAATATTTTTTTATTTTATACCTCCCTCCACAAATATGGCATTTATAAATATATACTCTCTCCGTCCATAAATAAACTTCTCGTTGCGCGTTACGATGTTTGACTGGAGTTATTTTCAAATCATTTTATATGAAAAATGGTGTAAAATTTAAAAATAAAAAACATATATTAAAAACTATATCAAAAGATCTACAAAACTAGAGGTGACATGACTATATTATTTTATCAAATGGGTGATGAAAATAGACCAACAAAATGAATTAAGTCTAACCTGTGAATAGTGAACGAAAAGTTTATTTCTAGAGGGAGGTAAAGTATAGTAATGCATATTATAAAAAAAATGGGCTTTTTTTATGTAGTGTTTTACCTGTACAGTATGCCTGGTGGGAGCATCAACAAGGTTATATTTCTTCTTAAACCCTTCATTCCATTTTCCCGATCCATAACTGCATATATCCATCATATGGTCATTCATGATCGACAACGATAATCCATGAACATGTATACATATACTTAACCGAATTGAATATATCCGCTAGTAATATAACTTACCCGACGACCCAGAAATCGTGACCATCTAAGTGCCAAGACTGCATGGTTTTCTCGTTGTTTTGGAAGACGATCTGGACGAAGTCGTGGAGGGTAGCGGGGATAACGGGGGTGGCAAGATAGGGGGCCACGGGGCCTCCAGAAGGACGAAGAGTCTGCAGGAATGGTGAGTCGTCGAGGGTGAAGACGCCCGTGATGTTGAGCCAATCCGCGAGCTTCAGAGGGGTGGTTGGGTTGACGTAAGACAGCCCATTGACGGCATATCTCTGCTTCCCTTCCATGACTGGCGCCGAGTTGGTCAACACCAGCGTCTTCGTTATGTTGATCGTCCCGTAGTGGTACGAGCCCTGCGGGTTCGGCCTCGCTGCATTTGCTGTCAAGTTCCACCTTCATTCATTCACACGTTATGTCAGGAATATTAAAGATAAGTGAAATTTGCACGGAATAGAACTAGAACATAAGTCATATTCCAATGTAGGACTTAAATTTTTTTATTCTCTAAATAAGACTTAATAATGACTAGTGAGAAGAATAATGTCCAAATAATGCTGGACATTTAGTTGAATAATGACTAATAAATAATGACCAATGGTCATACATACATTGTAAAATAAAAATATATGGTCCTATATTGAAAAAGTCATTATGTTTTAGTCCTATTTAGGTAAATTACCCTGAAGATAATATGAAACAAGATGTTATTACATTAATTATTGTGATTAGGATTCTCTTTGTATTCCATACGTACAGGAATAAAACTTTCATTATTCAATAAGACTAATTATTACTGACCTGATAGATCTGGCTTGCTTCATAGACCAGTGCAGTTGGCCCCTGGGAGCCGGGGGAATACGGTCAAGAGCAGCTGGAGTGTTAGAGTTTGAGTAGCGCAGTACGGCGGTGGCGTTGAGAAGACGGTTGCTGAACCTTGTCGATGCAACGATAAGGTAGTCCTTTGGTTGCGGCTGGTCTAAGGTGACGAGGACGGTAAAAGATTGTCCCACGTGAATGTCGAGGCTATCGTAGTAGTTCTGGATCACGTGAGATCCCTCCATCTCTACCAACTTCATCCTATGGTTTTGGATTCTGAAATTTATGGAGCTTCTCAACCCCACATTGGATATTCTCAACATGCACGTTTTGCCTGGATCAGCCGTGATGTTCATGTCCGAGTGATTCTTGCCGTTTATAAGGAGGGCATTAGGAAATGGCAACAGAGGTTTTCCTGAGTCCAGTTTGTATTGCATTTCCTGTAATATATAAGTAGTGATTTTAGTTTTCTTGTCCAAGTAATAATAAGATAATTAATCACTCAACTCAGGGTTAATTCTCACTTTGTGATTTTTGTACTTCCACCAGTCACCAATTAGTAAAGTGTAATCGGCATCTGGTTTTGGGTAGGGGACTGCAATAACACTTCTCTGATTGATATTGATAGCTCCGAACCCTCCGTAAGCCTTCTGCATGCCAGTTGATGGGAAGTATGTGTAGCTTCCTATCTGATCTTTGGTTTGGAATACGTAGGTGTAGTTCGAGTTTGGTGGGATGGGGCAATTTGTTCCGAGAACCCCATCCTGCCACGAGTTCTTCCTCTGCTTTATCCCATTCCTGCATATATATATATATATATATATATATATATATATATATATATATATATATCAATAATGTCATATTGGCTTACTATAGATCTTTCTAAATGTTTTTTGTTTGTCGATGGAGTAATTAAGTCGGCATTGACCAAATATAGCTAGCTAGCTTGGCACGTACCATGTCAAGAGAAGGGGCTGGTCTAACTTGTTGATGAGATTGAGGACTATATTGTCATTAGTAGTTGTATTCAATGTCGGCCCGGGGAACTGGCCGTTGATTAAGATCACCTGCATTGCACGCGCCCGCGGATTCAAGAACAAGTCTAAACATTACCGAGTACTATATTCTAACACTGATTAACAAATATATATATATACCTCTTGGGGAAAACCAAGCAAAGATTTTGTGCCATAAGTGGCGGTGAACTCGTAAAACTTATACGGATCTTCTGCTCCGGCGGAGGAGCTCCACAGAACCAACACAGCCAAGAAGACCGAACTGCAGGTTAAGTGCCGTAAGGCAGTTTTCTCCATTCTTGTTTCTCAGAGCTAAGATGACCTTTGATGGGAAATAATTGATCCAATCAAAAAGACATAAAAATACAAACAAAGCTATATATATTGATGTATATATATTTAGTAATGTCATGTGTTGAATGAAATGAAATGAAATTGAGGAAATGACAAACATACCAGGTTGAGACAGCTATGTTATGGAGATTTTAAAAAAAGAAGATGAAAAGAATGAAAAAATGTGAATTGAAATAAATGAGAGTGAGGCTGTTCAAAAGAAAATGAGTCCAGTTGGGTGTATATATATATATAAATGTTTAGATTAAATACTCCGATCCATATATGACTTGGGAGTATGTCAACTTTTCAATTATTCATACTGGGATCGGCGTAAATAAATGGAAATATATAAACGCGTTCCGCGTTATTATGAAACCCGACCAGCTGAATGCCCACGGCAAATGCTGTTGCTAGCTAGGCGTAACTTTTTTTCGTAATTTACTTAAATAAGATTAAAACATAATGATTTTCTTAATATAGGACTATATGTTTTTATTTTCCAATGTAGGATCATTAGTCATTATCTATTACGTAGTAGTTATTATTGAACTAAATGTCCAGTATCACTTGGACATTATTCTTGTCATTAGTCATTATTAAGTCCTATTTGGAGAATAAAAAAGTCTAAGTCATACATTGGGAAATGAAAGTGTATATAAAAATACCATTAATTTATTCCAAATAGAAGATTCTATTGTGGTAATATGAAAGTGTATATGAAAATTTCATTATACTTTTTGGTAATGTATATGACTATGACTAACATGGAATAGTATTTGGTATATTTTTAATATTTTACTCTTATATTAATTTTTTCTATCTAGTATTGAATATAATCTGATTTAAACGTACTGTAATTTAAAATTACTGAGTCTTACTGTGATCTGAACTAATTTTATACTTTGATTTAAGTCTACGTGAGAAATGTATCAATCTTTTCATATAATTAAATTTATAAAATAGATATGTTTAATGATTTTTTTCTAATGGAATAGAATTTTGAGTTATAAGTATTTTTAGCAGTTCATTGGAGTGAAATTTGCACTAAATAAGACTAAAACATAATGACTTTCCTAATGTAGGACTTAAACTTTTTTATTCCCTAAATAGAACTTATTAATGACTTAGTGGGAGAAATAATGTCCAGTAATGATGGATATTTAGTTGAATAATGACTACTTGATAATGACCAAAGGTCCTGCATTGGAAAATAAAAACATATGATCCTATATTGGGAAAGTCATTATGTTTTAGTCCTATTTAGGTAAATTTCTCGTTCATTGGACGGAGTATTATATATAGACCTAAGTTCTTTATGACAATATTCCTACACAAATATATATTTTTATTTTTTAAACAAAAATATAAAACATGCTTATCTAGCTAGGTTAATTATTTGTTTTATATGAAGGTCTACCATGAATTTAAGTCTATATCAAGAATTTGCTAGTAATTTTTATTGTCCAGTTTATATTATCTTTTTCCATTTGTTTCAACATAAAGTTTGCTATCTTTTTCTTTTTAAGAAATAAATATGCCTTACTCAGTCTTTACTTAAAAACCGAATTGAGTCACATTTTCTTTTGGGAGAAATACGACTTAAACATTCTTTATATTTTTAAAAATATTACATTAAATAAATTTAAAACAAAACAGTACTTATAATATTAAAATATTATGTCAAAAAACACGGTAAAATATAATGCTGAAACATAATGCTAAATTGTTCGTAGTGACAACACTCAACTGTATTCAAAGGATACAACACAAAAAGTCATATTTTGATATAAATTCTATATTTTAGTTTTACATAATTAGATATTTTATTTCTTTTTAAAGCTGTCTCAAAATAATACTTTGTCCCTCCCTTAAAGTTCTTCTCTTATTAACTTTTGAGAATTTAAGGAAGAAATATTTTGTATTTTGTATCCAAAAATACTCTTGATGTGATGAGTTAAAGTAGGATGCAATAAATATATTGTTACAAAAAAAATATGACGTGACATATAAGGTAAGAATTAGTAGAAATAAAAGTAGTCTTTAATAGAAAAGGAAACATGTTTGCGGGACAAGAAAGAAAAGAAGAGTTCAAAAGAGGGAGGGAGTACTTTTTAAGATTCTACTTTCTATTTATTGATTTAATCATTTGGTTTGCTTCATTTGTCACTTTTAGCTTATCTCTCAATCACCTAATTTTACATGATCAAAATTGCAAGTCCATAAAAATACATTCTTCCGTGAACCTAAGGTGCATGTTTATTTTATGAATTTAGTGTATTGGCAGCATAAAAAACATCTAAATACAAATTCATAAAAAATGTGAGAACATCTACATTTTAAATATAAATCTTACTTCCTCTGTCCCATTTTAAATTGCCTGTTTGCTTTTTTTCTCCGTCCCAAAATAAGTTGTCTGTTAGTTGTTTTCGTAAATTTTTAAAAATAAAATACCTGAACTACCCCTAAAATAAATCACTCTTCTTCACCTTATCTTCTCATTCATAATCACCCCTCCTAAAAAGTAATGTCAATTTCAAAAAAGCAACTCTATTTTTTATTTTCCTTAAATATGCTCAAAAGTCAAAACAGGCGATTTAAATTGGAACGGAGGGAGTAAAATCATATAAGCATTACTCACGCTGAGAAAAGAACATTATTGATTAAATTTGTCTAAGGTCAAATTACAAGAATAAACACTCAAATTGGCCTCCACTAACAATTGCCTCGTTAAGACGCTACCCATATTTGTCAACGTAATCAAACTCCTTATCATGACAATTAGTTTTATGAAGGAAAAAAGAGAGAGAAAGCCCGGAACCAAGTGCAGAAATTTCGGCGTCAATTAGCTAAAATCAAACGTGCCTTTTCTTTTCTTCTTTTTCTTTTAAATAAACAAAGGGTGTATTTGGCAAATGCATAACAATTTTGTTTGTGCCAATTTGGGGGTGAGTAGCAATTCCTCCCGGTAACACAACGAGTTAGGTATAATATTAAACTCATAAGAACAGATAATATAAAGTAATATAATGGGAGAAATATGGAGTCCTAAAACAAGTGTAAAATATAAAAACAACTAATTAAAATAAGATATTCATGTTTTTCTTTTTAAAATATAACGGAGTACTTATGAGTTATGACGTTAATTATGTCAACAAATAATACCAAAAATACTATAAAATGCTAATATATAATATCACATTGTCACAATGCAATTTTTCTAGGTTGGAGATGAAAAATTTGTGTTTCACTCTTATTTTGAGTGATTTCTGTAGTAGAGCCTGATTAATATTTGATGTACTGTTAAATATTAATATTCACGCAGTTCAACAATTTTTTTAAACTCTAGCTGCAAAGCTAAACAATCATGAAGTTGATGGGACGAAGGGAGTTTATATATATAAACAAGACTTCTGTGCATCCTCTAGACGGAGGGAGCAACTTTATCGTTAGACAACAACAACAACCCAGTTAAATCCAAAAAGAGTAGGGTCTGGGGAGGATGTGTGTACGCAGACATTGCCCCTACTCGAAAGTAGAGAGGCTGTTTCCAAAGAGACCCCTAGCTCAACGTCGAAAGTTGCATTGCTTGACTAACTGCTACTTCATTAATTAAAGAAGAGCAGACAATTTAGAGATCCATTTTGATTTATTCCATCACACCCCAAAGCCAAAAACAGGTGAAATTTTGGCTCCATCGGAGATGATGGAAATCAGCTTTATCGTTAGTGTATTCGAAAAATATTATCTAGCGAATCATTTGACTACTACATTTTACAAAATTACTCTACGCAATCAAAATTTTATCCAAAAAGTTAACGTTAACAAAAAGTGATGTATTCAAACAAGACCTAAAAAAAGATTAAGGAAATGTTTTTTAAATTTCAAAAATTATTCATTTATTCGGATTTTTTATTTTAGGGTACAAACTTCAAACTGGAGCCAAGATCCAACACTCAGTGGGTGCAAGACACAAACAAAGTGACAAGTGAATCGGTTTAACCATTGCCGGAGGCATTTTGGTCTCATAGACATTTTGTTGAACACATGATGTTCAATAACATAAATGGTACTTTCGAATCAATAAAATCAATTGGGGGTCCACTGAATAGATGAAGGTGAGTATATAAGGTTGCGGAAGGCTGCGCCAACCCAGGTGCTAAGTAAAAGTGTATGAGTGAATATAGAACGATTGGAACCAATGGATCGGAGCAGAATGTGAATGTGTATATATACATTGGTATGCAATTGCATTCATTTGCTCTCACTTGGCTCCGCCCCTTGTACCCACTATTTAAAAAAACAGTATAAGCATCGGTTGTTTCTAAACAACCGATGCCTTTGCTATTTTATTAATTTAAAAAAAAGTATTAGCACCGGAAAACAACCAATGCCTTTGCTATTTTATACATATAGCTTCACATCCAACAATAGCGATAATAAAAGATTCACCACATAAAATAAAAAAAACCAAATGCATGTGAAAAGCTTCATTTAAGCTCTCTGCAAGCAGCAGATATCAGATTTATTATCTATAATTAACTATGAGGCTCAGATCAAGGGGAAAAAAAGAGAAAAGAAGATTACAATTTTTTACACACACAAAAGACAGAGGAAGAAGAAACTTATAATAAAACTAAAGAATACCATGTTAGCAAGCATGTACAGTCCAACATCGGCATTGTAAACAGTAGAAAGTCTCTCCATTTTAGGAACTGGTCTAGAATTTAAGACATCTTGAGGCAAGTTTGGGTCAAACACATGAGCATTAGGAAACCCAGCATAGTAGGAGTTGAGAAATCCTTGATCACCTGTAAGCATCCAGAAACACATAATAAATTCCACAAACAAACCATACATTTCCCATTTATTCCTTTAATTTGCAATTTTCGTGAATAAAATTACGTTAAAATTCAAGCTACATTCCCAAAAACGAGCATAGGTTGACAGCATATACAAACTTGGGGTTATTCTTAGCAACATAGTAACAAAGGATTATGATTTGAAGACCAACCAAACTTGGAATTATATACTAGACAAACTTTCCAATAGATAAAAAAGGTTAACAACAAAAGTGAAGAGTGCCTATCCCGTTGACAGAAACTAACGACGTTACGACGAAGAAAGCTACTCTATATATTTTACCTTGAGAGTATCAGCAGCATTCTTGAGCAACTATCATGCCGAGTTGCTGATTATAAACATAACTCTCCCCTTCAGTGGTTCGATTCGCTGCATCACAACATTTATATGAATCCAATACAGCAAGGCTGATAGACAAGACCCAATGTGGTACACAGATTTTAACATATACTCCCTCCGTCCCAAAAAGTTTGTTACGTTTAGAAAAAACTGCGTCCCGTAAAGTCCGTTACATTTCTATTAAAAAACCACTTTTACCCCTTACTTTTTCATACCCTACCTATCACATCATACCTTTTTCCTAATAATCTACCCATCACATCCTACTTTTACTCATCACATCAAGGGTATTTTTGGAAAGTCAATACCAAAATATTCCTCCCTTAATTTCCCAAAAAGTCAAACCGTCCCATTCTTTTTGGGACGGAGGGAGTATATTTCTGGAAAGTGCTAAAGTCACCCAAACTCTCACCCCACCTTTCAACTCAACCATCTCACACACACCCATAGATATTGAATAGTAACGAATGTCTGTGGCTATCTATGACGTGGGACAAACGATAGGCTGAGAGGCGAGGTGGCCCTAGCATTGTCCATGGTGGTGGGGGTGGGGTGGGTGGAGGCATACCGAGCCAGAAGTCTTAACCCAGCTTTGGTGATAGGTTGAATTCTCTGTCCCTTCAGCCACCCAGAGATTATTTATACCATCTCTGTCTCTCTTGATAAGATTAAAGAAACATACCTACAAAGACAAAATCCACAAGGCTGAAAATTTAACTATCAAGGATCATACAAGGCCTGTACGCTGGGCAAATTCTAAGAAATGTGCACATTAAAATATACCAAAGTTAGCAATGCGTACCACTGATCCCGCAAGATTACAAAGTTCTGATGCAAACAGTTTGTTTTCAGTCTTTGCTAAACTGAAGCTAATCGCCAATAATGAATCATTGAATGCAGTTCGGGATCCGTCAGTCACAAGCCCCAAAACTTCATAAGCATGCCCCTCAGCGAGCTCCTCTCGCTAGGAAGTCAATTTACAAATGCACATTACCAAAAAACATGGAATCAATATATTAACACATCAACAAACCGAAAATAAAAAAACCCTTACCAGCTTGATATATTTTAGGAGATATCAAAAAATCAATAAACTATCAAGAATCTTAAGTGCTTCAAAATTTCTATAAAAAAACTAGGAACTTTTTGTTTCACCAAAAACAAAGTCACAACAAAGCACTTACAAAGAATCCACCATTAACCACTATGTTCAGAACAAGAGTCAGACATCAACTTCCATTTATCACCACCACCTTTGGAAACCTAAAAAATGAAATTGATAAAATTTGGATTCATTTACTGCAAAAACTCTTTTCCAGATTGGAAAAAAGTGGAAAAAATCTTTGTGTTTCAACAATGAATCGCAACAGAGTATATTTTTCAAAAGACAAAAACGAAATAATGATAAGGCTTTGTAATTAGATTAAATATCACATATAAATACTAAAAAAAGAATTGAACCTGCCATATCAAGGATCGGATCCCGCCTGCATCGATCGCGCGACGAAAGGAGAAGACGGGTCAAAGAGTCGAAGCTCCCCTGATGCGACTGAAGAAGATTTGGAGAAGGAAAATCGGGAAAGAAACGAAAGATGACCACGACGAAGAAGACGTCGGCGCAAACGGCAAGACGGAGTCGTTGAAGGCAAGAGGCGGCGGCAACGGAGAAGGAAGACGAAGGCAGATCTAGATATGAAACGAGGAATCTAAGAAGAGAGAGAGAGAAGTAAACAAAACACCTCTGGTTTTGGCATCGGTTGCAAGGCTACCGATTTTTTTACATTTTTTAATACAAAAACCAAAAAAAACATAAAATAGATATTAGCATCGGATTGATGCTATTGATCAATTGCACCTATTATCTTTAATATCCGATGCTAATACCTTTTTAAATTTTTCAAATTTTTTTTTTAAATAATAATTGCATCGGTTCTTTGAAACAACCGATGCTTTAGATCTTTTGCATCGATTTTTTAATAAGCGATGCAATTGAGGGCAGTCTATCTACTTATTTTTGTAGTAGTGGGAGCAGAATGTGAATGTGTATAAATACATTGGTATGCAATTGCAGTCATTTGCTCTCACTTGGCTCCGCCCCTTGTACCCACTATCCAAAGTGGAGTACGTGACCGCGATTGCAATTATTTGATATTACTTAGCTCCATCTCTGATTCTAGCTCGAGATTATAAATATCAGTTTAAAGGCAAAAAAATAAATTTAAGCTATGGACTAATATTTTTATTTAGTACGAAGTAATTTGTGTGATGTGGATGGAAGTTTATATAGATATCAACTTTTATGTGTGTGAACAATAAAAGTAGAAAAATGCTAGTAGGGGTACACCAAATGGGGTATCTCATTTGTCCCCCACCCCCTCCTCTACCACATAAATGGGCAAATATTTTTTAAAAAAATAAATAAATAAAAAGATGATAAAAATTGGTGATGAAGAAGGGGGTGAGGGATAAATGGGGTATACCTTTGGTGTATCCCTTTGGTGTACCCTAGCATTGCTCATAAAAAGTATTTGGTGAAACATTCCAGTACATAACGCCTTGAAGAAGTAGGAAGTTCATGCTTATTTTTTCCGTATATAAAATCCAAGTACACCAAATATCTCAAATGGGATCTGTGGCGCAATGGTAGCGCGTCTGACTCCAGATCAGAAGGTTGCGTGTTCGATTCACGTCAGGTTCACAGTTTTTAAAAATGGAATCTGTGGTCACGGCCTTTTTTTTCCATATTTAAAAATAATAGCAATGGCAATAATCTACAACTAATTGTTACTACTCCCTCCATTAAAAAAAATTTCAGTTTACTATTAATAGTTCATGGAACTAATTTAAAAATAATAGCAATGGCAGTAATCTACAACTAATTGTTACTACTCCCTCCATTAAAAAAATCTCAGTTTACTATTAATAGTTCATAGAATTTTTGTTTATTTGTATGATTTCATTAATTATTTAGTAAAATAAAATATCCTTATTACTCTTGTTTTATAGAATATTTGAGATAATTTCTAAACATTGAGTTCTAATTTTTTATTTCTATATTAATTTTTTTAATAAATGAATTAAAAAATTTTAAAATTTCGCTTCGATTTGCATAATGTGACATTTTTTTTGGAGGGAAGGTATACTTTTGTTATCCGTCAAATAGTCTGCTACTAGTTACGCACTAAAAAAAATTACTTCCTTCGTCTCTGAGTGTTTGTCCACTTTTATTTTTGCACACCATCCAATGCACTTCTTTAATCCATTTTATCTTGTAATTTGTATATTAAAAAATTATATATTAATAATTTATATGTTAAGACGAATCAAACAAGATCACACATGATTATTTCTTGGCTTACACATTGAGAGAATTTGATGAGTCAAAGTGCTTAGATGAACAGCTCCAAAAGTCAAAAGTGGACAAATACTCAGAGACGGACCAAGTATTATGCACACATGCAAAATTCTAATTGTTTAATATTTTTTTTATTAAATTTCATTACGTCGAAGTGAAAAATTCTTTTAAGCCCGATAATGAAGTCATGTTTACTCATTAGGGCGAGTTGAAAATTTGAAAAGTCAATATTAGTCCGATAATGAAGTCATTTTACTCATTAGGGAGTAAATAAATATTCATTGATATCGTAATTACGAGACTTTAAATAGTAGACTAGTATCATATCCGTGTGTTGCAAGACACATATTTTTATTATGAAATTATGTTGGTGTCATTATTGAGAAACAAAAATAAGGTATATAATGGAGTATAAAATTTCATAATAATATATTAAAACCTAAATATCAAAGAAATTGCCAATTTTGAATTTTTTAAAAATTACATTACTGGCATAATTTATGGGTACATCATCATCCATTATATGTCAATATCGATCTTTAATTTGCTACAATTTATAACTCTCGAAATTATAACATGTAGTGGTCTAAAATATAGTCAAACATCATACGCAAAATAGACCTAAAATACGTTCTAAGTTAGAGCATCTCCATGGATGCTAAAAAATTGGGATGCTCTAATTCAAAATAGATGATAGCCACAAAGTGCTATATTCAATATTTGCTATTTTTTGTCTCAAACGCATAGATAACAAATAGGAATTACTGTAGCACCCTATATATTTACATTATGCATAGTTTATAATAGAAGATAGGTTTTAATTAAACTATTGGGTTGGAGATTAAAATCAATGAACAATACCAGCTATATTTGTTATTTTTTATTTTTAGCTGACACGTTGGAAATGCTCTTACTAGTGTTAACTCTATATATATTATATACTATGCAAAGGTGGTTTTTTTTGTTTTCATTTTTGATGCAGTAGTAAGTAGTTTATGTGTTTTCCTTTTTTAAAAAAAATGGAAATTTGGGCTGCAAATGGGCCTAAAAACAGTATTATCTAAACTCTTCCCATCCCATCGGAGACGGGTTTGGATCAATTCACGAAGCAACCGAATTTGCCATAACTGTCCCTTCCTTTTGCACTTTCTCAATTTAACCAGTTTCCAAACTTGGGTTCGCTTTTTCTTCTTCTTCTCCGCAAACCTAAAAAATCACCCAAACGTCGTCACCCTGCGCGAACCGGAAATGGTGTCGGATGAAAAGCTCGTCAGCCGGCTCAGGGAGTTCCTCAGTACGTCGGACCTGAACACGATGACCATTGCTTGCCTTCGCCGGCAACTCGAGAAGGACTTCGGCATCGATTTGTCCGGCAGGCGGGCCTTTATCCGTGAACAAGTTGATCTCTACTTAGAGCAGGTTCGTTCCCAGAATGAGGAAGGACAGCCCGCAGAGGATATAAAGCCGGAGGAGAATGACGGCGCCGAGGAATCTCCCGCGGAGGCCGATGAAGAATCTGATGAAACGGAAGAAAAGGATGGAGATGAGGAGTCTAACAAAACTGGTAACGGGAAGATAGCTGCTAAGAAAAGGTCTTTTTTTTTTTTCCAGTGCATTTTGTTTTAAAGTTTGAACGCACATCTCTCTGCGTTTGATTATTCAAATTGATTGAAAGTTCAATCGTGCATTTTCAAGTTTAATTGACAGCACATAATCTGCGTGTATGGAAGTAGATTTTTATGAGCATTTTTTGGTTAATATGCTTTTAAGCACTGTTAAAAGTTAAAACACATGGGAGAGGGAAGCATTTATTTCAAATCATTGAATTAGATGATGTTTTTTTAACTTATTAAGTCCAGGAAGCAGAGTGATGAGGTCAAGAGGAGAGGTAATGGATTTACCAAACCATGTAACCTTTCTCCCCAACTTCAAAAGTTCATTGGGGAATCACAAATGCCAAGAACTCAGGTGTCTCAAGCTTCTCAGTACTCTTATACTGTTATTACTTAATACTTATAACTCATGTTTACTACAAGTTTAAAAAGAGCAATGTAGAGTAGATTTAGTTGACTTCTTGTTGTATTCCTTTTAATTTTGTTTGATAAATGATGAAGTAATGAAGAGATTTTGGTCCCAAAAAAAAAACTTAAAGTGATTGATTGGGCTCTGCTTCGGAAGAGTCCTCTATAGTTGATTTAAAAACTTTTTCTTCTATTTGGTTTGAGTTGTCTACTTCTTCAAACTTTATTACTTATGTTAGCTACTCTTATACCGGTTTCCATCCTAGCACTACTTGATTTCTCTAACACTAGACTTTGTGTGGTCATGTATTTAGGTGGTAAAGCAACTGTGGAACTATATTCGAGAAAACAATTTGCAAAACCCGGCGAATAAGAGGAAAATCAACTGTGACGACACATTGCGTGAACTTTTTAAGGTGGATTCAATAGACATGTTTCAAATGAACAAGGCCCTCTCGAAGCATATTTGGCCATTGGACTCTGATGGGGGTATAATTTTATCAATTTTACTATTGAGCATTTAGTTTCTGCATTAACAATTGCTTCATGTCAATCTGATATCTGTTCTTATTAATAATTTCTTGCTGCCCTATTCTGTAGCTCTCGGTTTGTTTATTTTCATGATGAAATTTTGCTCGCATTCTATCCATTGTTGTACATGCTTAGGGAAAATGCACTTACATATGTTCATTGAAAGTAATATTCTTTGGATTAGCGTGCTTCCCTTATCCTTGTAAGCTTAGTTGAGCCTGTTATAATTGGTAGGTATTTCCTATGTTACAAAGCATAGATTTCATATGTTTGTCCTCAACCATGAGTCCATGACTAGTAAAAACGTACCTTCTATTCTTGAATGAGACTTTTATAGCTTTCTCCCCATAATTGGGGTCATTTACTACTTACAACTGTTACAAGGGAATATCTAATCATGTTCTTTTAGTAGCTCTATATAAGAATGTGACTTATGTTTTAGTTATATCTAGTGCACTTTCGAGCAATTTTTTTCCTTTGGCGAGAGCGCTTCTCTGCTTTAAATGTATCCATTTTAAAAATAATTAGAACTATGTCCTTATAATGCATTCGTGGTGAATTCAATGCATTATTTTGTTATGTTTTTGCTCTAATCTATGCTTTGAAGTGGGGAAATGTGATTGTTGACTAATTTCTTAGAAAATTGCAGCTAATGTGTCAGCTAGTTCAACACCAAAGGAAAAGAAACGGAAGAAAGAGAGTGATGAAGGTGAAATTGCAACTTCTTTATATACTCCGTCCATTTCCATTTTTCCTTCGTACTTTACTTTTGGGCTGCCCCTGGATAATCTTCATTTTCCTATCAAAGTAAAAGCGCATGGTTCATATTCTTCCACTCCTTTCTACATAATTCTCAACCACACAATTTTCACTAAACTATATGTCAAGTCCCCATCAAATTATTAGATGGAGACGTTTGAAGTAAAGGAGTAGAATTATTTGTTTTCTGATGTTAATATTTCAAATACTGCATAATAACAATAGTTTTCTCTTCTGGAGTTTGCTCTTAATGCTCATGATGCACTTTAGCATCACCCATATCACTCTTTTTCTTTGCTGGGATCACACTATATTTATTTTTTATTTGAAAACCATATGCAGATAATGTAAATTGTCATTTATAAAATAGCTCAACACTTAGAAGTATTATGTATGATTCGAGGAGTTCTCTAGTTATAAGGTTGAGTTTGTGTATGCATGTATTTGCTCATGCTGTTAATTAGTGCTTTATATCTCACATTATAGAATCCGATGAACCAAAAGGCGGGGAAAAGAGAAAGAAGACTGGGATTCAAACTCCATGTCAGCTCTCTGATGGTTTAAAGGAGTTCCTAGGTACTGGTGAAAGTGAGTTGCCAAGGCCTAGTGTGATCAAGAGAATTTGGGATCATATTAAGCAAAACAACTTGCAGGTAGCATATATTTGTCCATTTTAACCCAATATGGAGCTCTTCTTTTGGCTATCTCAATTTAACTGCTGTTTCTAACACTTACGTTTCTCTTGAAGGATCCATCCGATAGGAGAAAAATCATATGCGATGATAAACTGAAGAAGCTCTTTGAGGTTGATACTTTCGTTGGATTTGGGGTAGCCAAACTACTGAAAGATCACTTTATAACGTAGGAATGGCTTGCTCAGCTCTTGTCAGTGGAACTCGGTGTTTTTGCGATGATAAACTGAAGAAGCTCTCAGAGTTTGAACCACGACATTAATTTCTATATTAGGCTTAATATCTTGCATAATTTACAACGAGAAGCACTGTTTGGGTTCGTGTGGGTCCGGGGGCAAGATAAAGAACTTTCCGCATCTTCCCATTTTTTTTGTGAAGTGTCTCCTGAAAACCGGAAGCCTGTATGCTCACACAAGTATATTTTTAATTTGCTGATGTATTTTAGAATAACTCTTGTAAAATTCCTGAAGTTAAATGGATGCCTAAAATCACCTGTCATATGCAAATTCCTTATTTGTTTTGTGGCTAATATCTGTGTTTACTGTCTATATATCATATGCATCAGAGGCATCTATCTAAGCAGAGATGGAAACAGATGAAAAGTAGACAAAAACACAGTTCTGAAAATGAATGGATTCAATTTCTACTATAAAACAAACTTCTAGTGTCTATCTATACAAAAGGGCCTCCAAATGCTAACAAGTCAAAGTTGAAGGCCAAAACTCTCCTCCTGTATACACACAGCATCTGCAGCCCACCATCTATACCTCGCCAGGTAAGAGTTTTTACACACTAACATTATACAACATTTCATTTCTTTCCATCTTTTGGCTGCAGAGAAAATGAGGAAAACGGACGTGTTCGGCGCTGCTATGGCTAGTCATCATCGTCATCGTGCTTCGAAGGTCTATGCTGCTGCATGACGAGAACCGAGCCACAGAAATCAAACTCTGCAGAAGCCAAAAAGTCTCCTACTTTCCCAAGCTCCGGACACTCTTCCCAATCACTGATTCCAGTTGTTAGAGGTGATGAGTGCCCTCTCCCTTCCTTCCCCACTATGAACAAAGAATACATGTCCGCCATGTCCCTCAATGCACCTGCTGTTTCTGACCCATTCTCCACTACCTTTTCTACGTACCCTACTTGACCCGACGTCACATACCTGATCAAAGATCACAACAGTTACAGACCATCAATTTCATTTCATTAAAAAAACAATCTTTTGCATACATACCTATGGTAGAATTCCGACAACACTTCATTATCAGCCTCTCTCTCCGTTTCACGATCAGAAATCGCCATTAGAATGCTTTCCTCCTTGTGAGCGATGTCAACACCCACACTCTGCACCTGTCCCGAAGCAGAAAGGAACCGAATAATCGTGAGGTTGATGTGATTATGCATTCCCAGTCTCTTACTGAATCCCAATGCCTCCCGATCATCGGGCCCACCGAAGAAAAGTGCCGCTATGTGTTGCAGGGAATCCGAGCCGGAGAGACTCAAGGAGCCAGCCGTGAGCCCCCGGTCTACCAGAATGGCAACCGCACACGGCGCGTGACGAAGAACTTTCTGGTTAGTAGTCCTGATACCTTCTTTACTTGTCTCCAGTTTCCCATCTATTCTCTGGTGCTTGTGGAAAGGGAGGAGAATGATAGAAGCTCTTATGTCCTCGGCATAATCACAAACGTCTCTGTACATGGTGGCGAAGGGCGCCACGGCTTTGATCTGGTGGACCATCACCCCTGTCTCCGCCGTGAACAGGTCCACCGCGTCGTTGATCTCCACCACGTCGTTCCCGCCGTAGTCGTCGTCATCGCTGACCTCATCTTCCTCTTTCTGGTTGTACATTAAGTTTGCATTGCTCTTATTCCCTGGGAGCTCAACCAGGTGCATCAAGTAAGGGGTCTGGGGAATATTCTCGGGACCTCTCGAAGCTGCTATGAGTCCCACCATGGTCGCCACCGGCCGAGGGCTGTGGACGCAAGCCAGAGTCCGGAGTTCGCATTCCGGACTCTGAGTCTCGAAATATATTTGCCGGTATCCGATGATGTCTTGCTCTCTTCTCACCATCAAAGCTATGATGGGTCCCCATATCAATGAGTTCAACACCACTGCTGATATCATCAAGCTGAAGAATGTGTCACTCAGTATGATCTGCATATATGCATCATCAAGTCACCAAATAAACAAAATAAAGATTGA